AAGAGTCCTGAAACCCAGGGCCTTGTGCATGCAAGGCAAATGCTCTGCCATCTCTGTTCTAAATGGAGATTATTCAGAAAGGTATTATTAATCTCCTGTAGATTAGATAGTAGTAAGAAGATGATTCGAAGTAATTAAGACCTAGCTTCACCTCCAGAACATGGCTTTGGATAAACTACTTCGCTCTAAAACTGAATGTGTCATCTATGTGGTACTATGTGATAGACATAGTACCTCCTACATATTGCCTACAGATGGTTTGTAAACTCAGAAGTGCTCCACAGTGAGGTGAGGTGGCACTTGCCTGTAAGCCCAGCATTTGGAGAGGCTGGAAGTGGCTGGGGATTTAGCTCATGGCACAGCGCCTGCCTGAGAGGCTGGAAGCAGGAGAATTGCAGCAGGTTTGAGGCCAGCCTCAACTACACAGTGAAACCCTGTCTCAAAAAGAATCAAAAAATAGCCAGATGTGGTGGCACATGCCTGTAATCCCAGCACTCAGAAGGCTGAGGCAGGAGGATCATTGTCAGTTCATTGGGCTACAAAGTGAGTTGAAGACCAGCCTGAACTGCATAGTGAGACCCTGTCTCGAAAAAAAAAAAAAAGAGAGAGAAAGAAAGAAAAAGAACCAAGAAACCAAAGTTTCATATATTTAAGATACCATCATTGACCCATTTTTCTGCTTACTCAGAGGCAGCACTCTGAACCTAATCATCCAGGAGCAGCAAGGACCTCAAGTAGGGTATCTGTGATTAATTCTGCTCACTCCTGCTTGACACGGCCAAATATGTTGCAATTTTCAGTTGTCTGCTTTTCTGTGTTCTTATTCTCTTCTTGCTGTGTTAATTCTCATCATTACCAGTGTTTTACGTCAAAAGCACTTCTTTCTTTTTTCATATAATGTGGTCATTATATGCTGTGGATGGACTTCTTACCACTATCTAATCTACAGGAGATTAATAATACTTTTCTGAATAATCTCCATTTGAAACACAGATGGCAGAGCATTTGCCTTGCATGCACAAGGCCCTGGGTTTCAGGCCTCTTGCACTCAAAAGAAAAGAATAATGTTGTAACAGTATGAAAATACTGAGAATAGAACACAGTCCATACCTAAGAGATTACTAGAAATAGGTATAGATTAAGAGAAAATAAAAGATCTGGATGTGGTGGTGCACACCTGTAATCCCAGTACTCAGGAGGCTGAGGCAGGGAGATTTGTGAGTTCAAGACCAACCTGGGCTACAAAGTGAGGTCAAACTGGTACAAGTGAGCCTGAATTGCATAGCAAGACCCTGTCTCAAAAAAAAAAAAAAAAAAAAAAGAGAGAGAGAGAAAATAAAACCTTCTTTATAAGTAAATGAACATCATTTCATGGGACTATCACTGTGTTACCATCACCCCCATTCCTTTATCTTTTGTTGGATATGTTTTGAATTTGTACTTTCAGAAAATGTTTACCGAGTACAGTAAAGCAGAACCTTTGTCCCTATCCAATCTACAGTCCAAGGGGAAGGTAGTTACTGAAATCACAACGACGTGCTCATCACACAGGGCAGGAGTGTGGTTCTAGCGGGCCACGTAACATGGGCTAATGGAGTGCAGGGCAGCTTCACAAGACAGGGTTTTCAGATGAAATGCATGGGAGAAGGTATGTATGGAAAGTGAGTTCCAGGCAGATAGACAAGAAGTGGGAAGGTCTACAGAACATAGGAAAAAGTGGCAGGAGGTGGGGGGAGACACCAACCTGGTGAGTACTGAAGAAGTAAGAGAGCCAGGCACGGTGGCGCAGGCCTGTAATCCCAGTACTCAGGAGGCTGAGGCAGGAGGATCACTGGGAGTTTCAGCTCAGCCTGAGCTATGTAGTAAGTTCAAGGCCAGCCTCCATCGTGAAACCCTGCCTCAAAAACAAACGTACGAGAAAGTCAACAAGGCTGGAGCAGAGCACAAGAAGTAACAGAAGACAGATGAAGCAGGAGAGGTGAATGGGTGGGTAGAGTGAGCACTCCTGGGATCAGAATCAACACCGTATTTGCATCTTCTTGTAGTTTCATTGCCTATTTAATTATTTATTTATTGAGACTGAACCCAAGGCCATTGCACTGAGCTACATTCCCAGCCCATTTCTGAATTTTTATTTTGAGACAGCGTCTTGCTAAATTGCCCAGTCTGGGCTCGAACTTGACATTTTCTTGCCTCAGCCTTCCAGAGTGCTGAGATTCCAGGCGTGCACTACCATGGTTGGCAGGCTTTGTTCTTATTTTCCAAGTAAACTGTACATTTCTCCCTCTCTCTGTCCCACATCCATCTTCATCTGTCTTTCACAGTGCTGAGAGCCAAAGCCAGGGCCTCATTAGTGCTAAGCAAGTACTCTACCACTGAGCTTTCCTCCCAGCCCCTGTGCATTTCTTACTTTTCTTTTCCTGTGCTTTTGCTAGTGGTACCTAGTATTGTCCCCAGTGTATGATTAGTGTATTCATAGAGCACTCAGAAGTGGAATGCAGCCATGTTAGGCTAAGTTATTAACTCATAAGCTTGTGAGTTAATTATCAGAAAAAACATATGCTTGAGAAACACACAAGGTCCTCGTGCTGCCAGTTACTAGCTCTGTCACTTGGGGACAAGTTATTTAACCTGTTTAAGTTTCCACTTTTTCATCATCAAAAAGGATAAAGGAATATTTAATTCATGAAGTGCTATGAAATTTAAATGAGATAGTTAAACTGGATGTGGTGGCGCATGCCTATAATCCTAGCACTGGGGAGGCTGAGGCAGGAGGATTGCCTGGAGTTTGAGGTCAGCCTGAGCTACACAGCAAAATCCTGTCTCAAAAAACCAAAAATAAATAAATAAGAAAATTTTAAAATAAAGGAAATATTTACATATCATCCACACAACAACCCCACAATGCCAGCTCTCTTCTTACCTCTCACTTCCTTTCCCAGAATGCTTAGCTCATTCTTTTCCATCTACCCCACTACCTTACTCTCTGCATTTGCTAAACCTCCTTCTCCACTGGCTCCACTCTTCACCTACAAAGGTCCTCAACTAAAAATAGTCCATTGCTCAAGATGCTCTCCATTCCTTTAAGCTTTCCATTTCTCTTCATCCTTTTGTCACCAAACTCCTTACAACAGTTGTCAACATTCCCAATCCAAGTTGATCCCAGGGCTAGAATCGGGTCTGGATCCCAGGAATGAGGAAGAGAGAGGCAGGAATAAGGAGACAAGACCAACTACTGTTTCCGAAAAGAACCAAGGGAGTCAGGCATGCTGAGCCTCTCAGGGTACTCAACTTTGCATGACCAAGCAACTTCTCAATCTGTCCCCTTCTAGAGCTTTCTTATAGAATCACTGTATCTGCGGGCTGGGGTGTAGCTCATGGCAGAGCACATGGCATGCCTAAGGCCCTGAATCCTCAGCATCACAATAAAGAGCTGACCTCAATCTGTGCTGAGGCAAGCTGTACCATCCATCAGTTACTTTATCAGTACTCTCCCCAACTACAAATTTATTGAAGCATCTCACACATTCCCACTGAGCTAATTATTTTACTTCCCTGATCAAACATTTTTAGTGTTTCCTCACTGCCTAGAGAAAAGCTCTGAACTCTTAGTTTATTTTTGTTTGTTAAATTATTTTTTGGAGGCAGGGTCTCACAGTGTAGTTTAAACTGGCCTTTAACTTGTAGCAATCCTCCTGCCTCCACATCCGGGGACTGAGATTTTAGGCATGTGCCACCATGCCTGGTGCAAGGCTGAACTCTTGAGTAACTTCTTTAAATGTCAGTCACTATCTTAACTTTTTCTTTCTCCACTTATCTCTGAAAGAATATATACTCCAGATATACAGAATAAATCACTGCTTCCTGAAAGCGCCTCATATTGGGTTTACCCACTGTACATGCTTATGCAGTTCCTATCATCTGGGAATCACTTCTTTCCAATCCCTGGCTTTTAAACAATTTAAACTGCCAGCCACGGTGACACATGCCTTTAATCCCAGCACTGTAATCCCAGGCTGAAGCAGGAGGATTGCTGTGCATTCCAGGCCAGTCTGAACTGTACAAGTAAGATCTGTTTCAAAAAAAAAGTTTAATCTTTTGTCTCTTCTTTTTTGGTGTGTATGTGTATGTGCATGTGTGTGACACAGTTTGGCTATATTTCACAGGCTGGCTTTGAACTGGCAACACTCATTGTAAATTGCTGAATCTATGACTCCAAGTCTACCTCTTCTAACCACTCAGGACTAATCTAAGCTTCTTTACCCTCACAATTCTTTTTTTTTTTTTTTTGGTTTTTCTCCGGTACCGGGAACCGAACTCACGACCTTGCGCTTGCCAGGCAGGCGCTTTTGCCGCTGAGCTAAATCCCCAGCCCCTTTTTTTTTTTTTTTTTACCCTCACAATTCTTTAAACTGTTGAAGTTAATGGGAGGGCTGAGGGATACAGCTCAGGGGCAGAGCACCTGACTAGCATGTCTGAGCCTCGAACCCACCAGGCCCAGCTAGATTACAAGATTCTTGACTGCGAATAGTTCTGCCTCCCTCAAGAACTGAGATTTCTCATCTGTGGGTCCCTGAAGGCTCGTGCCTGTAGTGCTTCAGTGCAGTGCTGACACCTGCCGGTCACAGGTGGTTCGGCAGCCCTGGCCTCAGCATTTCCGCCCTCCAGTACTAAGCCCTGGGATATCTCCTAGTTACCTTCCAGGCTTGGGAAGATGCTTGTGATAATGTTGCCCCACAGTGCCACCCTTTCAAGCTGGAGAACTCTCCTCACTGACCCCTAATTCATCAGTTTGGACTTTACATCCTCCCCAGGACCACAGACATGGATAAATAGGGTCTCAAGTAACTAGGCGGCAAGAAAGAAGCAGTTTGAGAGCGGGTATATGCAACCCCTTCTCCCCACCCCGAAGAGTCAAGTGTGTTCCCAACACAACCCTATTCCTCTCGACCTTTGCTTTATGTCTGGGTTTCTCTCGGGCCATGGGCTTTCTCGGTGCCGGTGAGGACTGGAGGTTGAGCGGACAAGGTAGGCGGAGCCTGCGGGGTGGGGCCAGGCCAAAGGGCCTCTTACTAGGAGCTTCTCCATTCTGTCAGCTCTCCGGCAACATCCACGCCAAGACTGACACCCGTCGTGGCAGGTGAGTGACCCTCTGTGATGAGGGTGGCTTTGGGGGGATGGTGGCGGAAAAGTCTCTAGCGCCTGAGATTTAATTTTTCACATTGTCAAGGTCTCACTTGTAGAATTCTTGGGTGCCCAGTACAGCTTAGTTTTGTCTGGGGCAAGGCAGCCTTTGAAAGAAAGACCGGGCTTGGGATGGGGTTGTGTGCAGGGCTGAGGGTCAGGGTGGGCACAGGTGTGTAACAGACCAAGGAAATTCTGAGGCATGGAGGGACATGGGTGAGGACCAGAGGGAGAACAGAAGATTCTAGGGAGGACCCAGGAGAGAGACAGAGAGAGAGGGAAACAGCAGGCTGTGAGAGGACAGGGGAGCAAAGTGAAGCTGCTCAGAGGGGCAATGGAGAGCTGGGTAACAGGAAGGCTGAGGAGGAAGGAAGGCTCACATGGAGCAATCGAGTCTTCCGGGCCTCTTCCAGCTGTGGAGCCTGGTCCAGAAAGCCCCAGGGCAGGCCAGGAGCACATGGGGGCTGCAGGCTCCTACCGGAATGCTTCAGTGCCGAGAAAAAACCCTCCTGGTTACCCACTCCCTTGCCTCTTCAGACTCCCAGTTTCGTCTGGAGGAGGGTGAGGCTCTCCTCACTGCGGTCACAGCCACATCCTGCAGAGCAGGGGAGGGGGAAGTAAGAAGCAAAACAACTACACGAACCGCAGGAGAGGACCATGGGGCGGGAACCTGGACCTCTGCAGCAGCTGGGCCCCAGCAGGGTCCTGGGCACAGGCAGGGGCCCGCAGGCCTGCAGGCCTGATGCCCTGGAGGGCCATGTGCTGTGCAGGCTCAGCACGCTGCACCCGCAGCCATGCCGACAGCAGTCCAGGGATAAAGGTTCTTGGGATAACTTGACCTAAAGCTCATTTTTATGCTTTACTAGTGACTCCAGCCAAGGTGCTTCATTTCTCTTAACCTCAGTTTTCTCACTGCAAAGTCAGGACACTGTTCATGGGACTGGGGAGAGAGGCAGCTCGCAAAAAGCACTTGGCACACAATAAGCTCTCAGTAAATGTGAACTGTTCTCGTCAGGATGCCCAGGACCTCTACGCTTCTCACTTCTTTAAAGACAACAGTTGACATGGGCTCTTGGAGTCAGGAAATCAGTTGTGTTTGACCTTAGGCAAATAATTTAACACAAGCCTCAGTTCATGGAGAGTAATACCTACACACCTCCTGGACGCAGGGTAAACCGTCAGGGTCACACAGTAGCTGCGGGAATGATCGGTCAGCCAAACCCGTCCTCGGGCGGCAGCCCCCACTTCCCGACCTCACCCTGGGGTGCCCTTCCCTGCGGCCACTCCTCCAGAAGGGTTGGCATGCTCCTCTGAGATGCTCTGGAGATCAAGCGTCCCTACAACACTAAGAAAAAAAGCAGGAGCAAGACAGCAAGACACAGAGGACCAAGGGGGCTTAGGGGAAACAGAGGACAAGCTAACCACATGACAGAGAAGGGAAAGCCATTTCTCTCTCTAAGGAAGCCTGTGGCCTCTCTTCTAGCGACTGACCGCACCCTGCCCGGGCACCATGGAGTCCTTCAGCTCAAAGAGCCTGGCGCTGCAGGCGGAGAAGAAGCTGCTGAGTAAGATGGCGGGTCGCTCTGTGGCTCATCTCTTCATCGATGAGACAAGCAGTGAGGTGCTAGATGAGCTCTATCGTGTGTCCAAGGACTACACGCACAGCCGGCCCCAGGCCCAGCGGGTCATCAAGGACCTGGTCAAGGTGGCTGTCAAGGTGGCTGTGCTGCACCGCAATGGCTGCTTTGGCCCTGGGGAGCTGGCCCTGGCTACCCGGTTCCGGCAGAAGCTGCGGCAGGGCGCCATGACAGCGCTTAGCTTTGGGGAGGTGGACTTCACCTTTGAGGCTGCCGTGCTGGCTGGTCTGCTCACTGAGTGCCGAGATGTGCTGCTGGAGCTGGTGGGGCACCACCTCACCCCTAAGTCCCATAGCCGCATCCGCCACGTGTTCGATCACTTCTCTGACCCAGGTCTGCTCACAGCTCTCTACGGGCCTGACTTCACTCAGCACCTTGGCAAGATCTGTGACGGGCTCAGGAAGCTACTAGACGAGGGGAAGCTCTGAGCACCCGGGACCTAGCGCCTTCCACCATGGCTGACCCGAACACAACACACCGAGGGCTTTCTTACCCTGCTCTAGGCACTAACGCTTCTCAACCCTCAGGCTTCATTCTCTCCCAGGGGAGCCTCGCCTCTGAGACCACCCACACCCAAACTGCTGGAGAAGATGCAGTGCTGGGGGGGGCCTAACTCCCACTCCAGCCCCAGCACAGGAAACAGCTGCCTGAAAAAAGTGAAGTGAAACTTGGATCTTTATTTCTCCCACAAGGGACATCTGAAACAGGGAAGCCCCCTCCCCTTCAAACCAAAGGAGAAGGAACCCACATAACCCCTCTGGGGACACTAAAGACAGAAAGGCATCGGGTGGTGGCCCCTGGAGACACCCCAGCCCTCCAGCTCTAGGCAGAGCATGGACACATACCAGAGGCTCTGTCCCAGGGTGCAGGAAGAAGGGTTAGGGCAGGGGGAGAGTCTCACAGGGAAAATAAAACTACTGAAGCATGCACAGGCTCAGTGTTTAATCTCTCCAGCTTCTACACCTTAGGGTCATCACAGAGGAAAGGAGGTATATAGACACCACTTATCTCACCTGTCACCACTTCCACACAGGAGACCGAGGCATATTTCCAGTACATTGAGGATCCCTTGCCTACTTCTCTGTTTGAGAAACAACAAACTGTACTGCAGATCAGTGCTATAAATTGCAAATAAACATACAGTGAGGAGCAAGGCATAGACAGGCTCTGGTGGGGAGGGTGTGCAACTAGGAGACTCCCAAGCCACCTCCTCTTTGAGCCCCAAAGGAATCTCCTTGCACCCCTCAGCCCCACTGCAGGCAGAGCAGAGGACGGGTTAGAAGGTGAATTGGTGGAATGGAAAGGTTGGGTTCCTACTTTGCTGTTCTTTCTCAGAGCAAGAGTTGTGGAAAAGTTATAGATAAATGGTTAGTCAAGACTGAGCCCAAATCCTTGACCTTGCCATCCTCGGCGTGACACCAGATCTCGATTCCCTGTCCTCAGTAACATGCTCAGAAAGGAGCTGGGGAAGGTGACAAACCAGCAGCCACTGGCTCAGCATTCCAGGTTACGGAAATCCCATTTTCAGCTATAAGTAGGAAGTAGTTAGACATAGCAAATAAATATTACTCAGTATAGCACCAAATAAATTAGGTAACATAGCTGGAGCTGGGAAGTTCAAGGGGAGTCTCTGTTTCCCTGCTCTAAGGACAGAAAATGGTGAAAAAGATAAGAAAGGCAGCAGGGATGTAAAAAAAAGCCATCTGAATCTGAAGGACTCCAGATTCAGCTAACAACTGGGAAGGGGTCTGGTTCTCATCTCCTACTTTTGCCCCCCACAAATGCACTCTAGTTTGTGATGGACAGGAGGCTGGGGGAGACGGCTGGAGTAGAGGGAGGCAGGCTGGAAGCCATGTTCTTGAGCCTCACCTCAGGCTCCTCTCTCCCTCAAGTTGCTCCTTCCAAATTCTGCTTCTCTCAGTCAATTCAGGGGGCATCAGAGTTTGAAGATTTCATCCTCCTGGTCCCGTAGTGTCCGTGTTCGAGAGGTCCGAGTCAGCGGTACAGGACCTAGGACTGCTCGTTGCTGGGTCCGAGGGGAGCTCAGGTGGAGACATGTGTCCTCCCTGGGTACCCTGTAGGTGAGGAAAGGAGGAAAGAGCCACAGATCAATGGAAGAACCTGAGTATGGGCCAGGAGGTACAGGGAAGTTGTCTCTCCTGCTTCATGAGCTCTCTGCTCCAAGATAGTCTCAGTATCATCTGGAAAAATCTTAGCCCTAATGTTCCTGCATGGATTAAGAAAGCAGCAAGAACAATCAAATGTTTTACTCAGATGGGAATGCAGAACCCAGCTCAGCCCATCCTGGCTGCCATGGGCTCTGCGCTGCATCATGGGCCTCCTGGGGCACAGGTACCACCCCACTTCTGCTGGTATTGTGCTCACTTACTTGTGTTTGTGGGGAGGTTGGACAGGAGTCTGTGGAGCAACCTAGGAGGTCTCATTTAAGACTCACCCACTTTCTCCTTTGCTCAGCTTCTGTGCGGCGACCTTCTTTGACAGGCTGATCTGTGAGTCAAGCTTCTTAAGGAAATCTGAGGCAGAGAGGTCATGGGTGGGCCCGGGGGGGTCCTGGTCAGGTGTGGGAGGGACGCTGTCACCTTTGGCACGTTCTGAACCCATCTCTTGTTTGCCCCTCTCAGCTGAGTGTGGCCGTGCTTCATCCTTACGTGGGTGCATCTCTTCCTCTCCATCTTTCTCTTCTTCAGAATCCAAACCATTGAACAGGTCTCTGGGCTCTGTCAGGATGGGGATGTAGAGGGTTTTCTTCAGGAAGATGGAGTCATTAGTATAAAGGCGGTTTGCACGCTTAATCTGTTCCATCTTAAAAAAAAAGTCACCAAAATTAATGACAGTAACAACTATCAATCTTACATAGAATCTCATGCTTTTAAAAGTAGTTATAAAGCCCAGTGTGGTGGCTCACATCTGTAATCCCAGCACTTGGGAGGCTAAGGCAGGAGGATCACTACCAGTTCAAGGTCAGCCTGGCTTACATTTCAAAAATAAAATAAACTTGTGGTGAACCTGCCTCAGTCTCCCAAGTGCTAGGATTACAGGTATGTACCACCACGCCTGGCTTTTTTTTTTTTTTTTTTTTTTTTTTGCCATTGATATTTCTAAGCAGGTACTCTAGCACTGAACTACATCCCAGGCCAACACTGATATTTCTGCCTTGCAAAACCAGGGTAGACAGTGATGCCAGTTACTCAGTGATGAATAAATGGGTACAAAATAAATATCTAATGAAAAAAATAACTAATATAGTGTAACAAGCATTTCCAGAGGGAGCAAAAAGGCCCAAGACTCCATCATTAACTTGCTAGGTAAATTTAAGCAAGTAGCTTAATCTTTCTGAGTCTCTACCTTTACCTTTAACAACGGCTCACAGTGAGGTCTCAGGCTCTCCAGAAGTCCACAAGGTCAGAACTATTTTTCTAGTAATGAGATGTCATTTTCCCTTTCATTCTCATTTCTCATGAGTCTACAGTATTTTCCAGGGGCTGCATGATATATAATATTGCAACAGATTGAATGTAGAAGCAGCTAGAGCAGCTGGGTATGGTGGCGCACAACTATAATCCCAGCACTTGGGAGGCTGAGGCAGGAGGATCACCATGAGTAGAAGCCAGCCTGGGCTACAAAGTGAGTTGAAGGCCAGCCTGAACTGTATAGAAAACCCCTGACTCAAAAAGACACACACACACACACACACACACACAGAACCTTCTCAACTGGGTTATTCCAACAATTTAACAACTCTTCCTCTTTCATTTCTACTCATCTTGCTCTTGACATCCATCTAGAAAAAAGCCTCTGATTAATCCACTAGCCTGCTTATTATAAACCTCTAAGACTTGTCATTAGCTAAGAAATAAAATCCAAATCAGACTAAAGGGCTCTCTCAATCTAGCTTCCACAGGAAACATCTAGTTTTGTCTCTCCTTTGTTATCTATACAGTTTGCTGTCCTGAACTTTTCATTTTACTTTGAAGATTTCATCATCTTCCCGACTTCTGGGTGCTTACTCATTCAGAAATGCCTCTCCCTACTCCCTTCCCTGCTTGGAAAATTTTTATTCATCAACTATCAATACCTTTGTGTGACCCTCTTCAGGGCTCCCAGTACAGCCTGTAATGGCTACTGTAATAATACTTGCCCTGTGCCTGTCGGGGCTGAGAGTGTAGCTCAGTGCAAAAGTCCTGGTTCAATCCCCAGTGCTGCAAAAACAAAGAAACAAATAAACAAACTTGCCCTGTGGGCTGAGGTACAGCTCTGGGGTAGACTGCTTGCCTAGTATAGCAAGGCTCTGGGTTTGATCCCTAGCACTGCAAAAAACAAGACTAAAAGCAAACAAAAAAACTCTGCCCTATTACATGGTTAGTCACTGCTTTGCCGAAAGCATGTGACTCTTTTAAGGGCAGGGATGGTAACTTGCTGTCTCTGTATCCCTAAGGTGGTGCCTTAGTATCCTACAGAGCTTAGCACAGAACAGAGGTTTATAAAAAGTATTTGTTTACTTATGAACAAATAAACTAGATAATAAAATACAGTATTTTAGATAGAGTTTATCAGTATTTTATTCTCAGAAGCCAGAGTGTCAGTTTTACTATGATGTCATCCTGTACTGGTACCAATGTAGAAAATCATATTTCTTCTATCTGTCAAATATAAAAGCTTTTTTTGTCCTGGGGCAGGACTATTACAGTAAACTTGTTAAGTAAAATCTTACAAGACCTTTAAAAACAAAATCAGATTAACTGGAATTATGTTATTTTATTGGTTTTGTTTGTTTGTTTGTTTGTTTTGCTATATAATTCAGAATGGCCTTGGACTAACTATGTAGCTCAGGCTGGCCTCAAACTTCGCAGCAGTCTTCCTGTTTCAGCCTTCCAAGTGCTGGTATTATAAGCATGTGCCGCCATGTTTGGTATTTTATTGTTTTGTTTTTTGAGACAGGGTCTCAGTCTATAATTCAGACTCACATGATCTTCCTGCCTCAGCCTCCAGAGTGCTGGAATTATAAGTATAAGCATGTGGCACCATAACCAGAGGGTTTTTTTGTTGTTGCTTTTTTTTTTTGAGGTAAGGTCTTGCTGTATACTTCCCCCTAACCTAGGACTACTTACCAGTCCTCCTGCCTCAGCCTTCTGGAATTGCAACACTCAACGATCTGAATTTTTTTTTCTTTTTTTTTGAGACAGGGTCTCGGTATCTACTGCAGGCTGGCCTTGAACTCACTTATGTAGCCCACGATGGCCTTGAACTCATGACAATCCTTCTGCCTCAGCCTCCTAAACGCTGGTATTACAAGCATGTACCACCATGCCCAGCTGACATCTGAATGATTTTAAAAAGTTAAAATTGTCTTGCACTTTTGAACATGCCAAATATTTTGATGCTATCAATTTTATTTTTCCTAGATTATATCATGGATACCCTCTAGCTCCAAGATGTTATGAATAATTTGTGAGTTTTGTAGTGCTTTTATTATTTGCCAGAGGGATCCTAGTCCACTAGTCTTTCTTGAGAGGTCCTTAGAATCTAGTAGCACCCATTATCTTTTTTCTCTTTAAAATTAAAAAAAAAGAGAGTATAAGCCGGGCGTGGTGGCACATGCCTGTAATCCCAGCACTCGGGAGGCTGAGGCAGGAGGATCCTTATGAGTTCAAGACCAGCCTGGGCTAAAAAGTGAGCTCAAGGCTAGCCTGAACTGCATAGCCAGACCCTGTCTCAAAAAAAAAAAAAAAAAAAAGAAGTAAGGATTTTAGAATGAGATAGCCAAGTCTGAAGTCTCACTCCATCAGTTATATAGTCTATGGAAAGTTGTCTTATTTCCTTAAGTCTGTTTCTTCATCTCTCTCTCTTTTTTTCTTTTTCTGGTGGTAATGGGGATCAACCCTAGAGACTTCACACTGAGCTGCATTCCCAGCCCTTTTTTTGTTTTTAAAACATGGTCTCACTAATTTGTACAGGCGGGGCTTGAGTTTACAGTATTACTCCCTCCGTCTCCTAGAGTGCTGGAATTATAAGTGTGCACACCATGCTCAGCTTTATTTATTTATTTGCAGTACTGGAGATTGAACCCAGGGTCTTTACACTGAGCAACATCCTCAGCCTTTTTATTTTTATTTATTTATTTTTTGTCTTTTTGAGACAGAGTCTCGCTATGCAGTTCATGCTGGCCTTGAGCTCACTTTGCAGCCCAGGCTGGTCTCAAATTTGCAACGATCCTCCTGCCTCAGACTCCCGAGTGCTAGGACTGCAGGCGTGCACCACCATGCCTGGCTTTATTTTTGTTTTGAGACAGGCTCTCACTATGCATTCAGGCTGGACTTGAACTCCTCATGTAGCCCAGGCTGGCCTCAAGCTCACAGCGATCCTCCTGCCTCTGCTTCCCAAATGCTGGGATTATAGGCATGTGCCACCACACCTGGTTCCACATAGTTAAATGGGAGTAATTACACTACCTCATATTCTTATGAAAATAACATGAGGTAATACACATACAAGGCTTGGTATATATTGTGTTCCTTAATTGATAGGTAGGTAACAACTTAAGCAACTAACATTATTTATTTATATATTTGGTTTTTTTCTCCCGTACCAGGAACCGAACTCACAACCTTGTGCTTGCCAGGCAGGCGCTTTTGCCGCTGAGCTAAATCCCCAGCCCCAACTAACATTATTTAATACCCTTTCCTCATTTTATAAAGTGTAGGCAAAATGAGTTTCCAAACAGGGCCAGTGAGTCAGTCCATAAGCAGAATAGAGCCACAGTACAAAACTCCTCTTAACTGGACTACAGAGCTTTTACAGGGCTATTAGTCTCAGAAGCCAGGTATTGTGACACATGCTGGTAATCCCAGCCACGCAGGAGCCTGATGCAGGAGGGTCACAAGTTGGAGGCCAGCCCAGGCAACTTGTGAGAACCTATCTCAAAAGCGTTAGTATGCAGCTCAGTGGTACAGTATTGCCTTAGCATACAGGAGGCCTTGGGTTCAATCCCCAGCATGGGGGGTAGGGGAGTAAGTCTTAATAGTTCCTGGTTCCCTGCATGATCCAGTTTCATTTTTGTTTTTTTTTCTTCTGTGCTGAGGATTTAACTCAGGGCTTTACTCATGCTAGGTAGGTAGTTGCTCTATTGCTGAGCTACACCCCAGCCCTTACAGTTTGAGACAGAGTCTCCCCAAGTCCTTAAATTACCCAGGCTGGCCTCAAACTTGTGTCCACCAAGCCCAGCTCCCAGTTCTCTTAACACAACTTATGAGCCCCTGCTGAGACCCAGAGGTTGCTCTGCACTTTCATACTGACTTCATTTGCTTAGGCCATCCCTTCGACTTGAAATGTTCTTTATTCTTTCTCTTTCTTTTTTTTTAATTTCAAAACTGTGGATTAAACTCAGAGCCTTTTGCACTGGGCTATATTTGTAGCCCTTTTTATTTTTTGTTTTGAAAACCGGATCTTACTAAGTCACCAAATGCACAGCTCAAATATGCAATCCTCTTGCCTCCATCTTCCAGTGTTGGAATTACATGAGTGTGCCACCATGCCAGCTGGAAATGTTTTCTTTCGTACACTCCCAATTTCCATGCGTGGAAAACTTAGTCACATTTTCATCCATTCAAAAAAAACTTTTAATAAATTAACAAGAGATGAAATAAACAAGAAGGCAGATTTTTAGAGATTGTGAAGGGGATGGAGGAGGCAAGAGGAAAGGAGGAGGGGAAATGGGGGCAAAAATCAAAATATATGCATGTACCAAAATGTATTTCATTGTTCTATATCACTAATATGCACCCGAAAACGGGTGGTCTCTTCATCTTCTATTTGCTGGTAACTATGCCAGAATCTACAGATACAAAATTGAAAAGAAATAGTTCTACTGGTCATGGTGTCAGATGCCTGTAATCCCACACTTGGGAGGCTGACAGAGGAGCATCACCATGAGTACGAGGCCAGCTTGAAGGACATATCAAGACCCAGTCTCAAAAAATAAAAAAAAGTGTTCATGGTGGGATGGCTAAAGATGTGTGTAGTTCAGTGGTACACTGCCCCTGTGTCAGATCCCCAAAGGCATCTCCAAAAAAACAAAGGAAAGGTAAGGAGCACAGAGGTCACTGGAAGGCAAACAATGTATTGCATAGGTTTGTAAAGAAAACACAGAAGTTTCTAAGCTTTTCAAGGTCTACAGTGACGGTAGCCTTAAAACCTGCACTGATGTCCACCCCTTCTCCCTTCTAAGTAAAAATTAATCTTCTTTTCTGATTTGCCCCCTTAATACAGATACAAACTCATCAACTTCTGTGGTAATCACTGTGTCCCTGCACATTTATTACTAGACTGGGGGGCTGGGGATTTAGCTCAGCGGCACAGCACCTGCCTGGCAAGCGCAATGTCGTGAGTTTGATTCCCGGTACCAGAAAAACAAACAAACAAACAAAAAAACCTACTAGACTGAAAATTACATAAACACAACAACTGTACATTCAACTCTCCAAGAAGAGCTACCATAGTGCTTCAAATACAGCAAACACAAAAATTCTGGTTAAATCCAACAATTGCTATAAATGGAGCCAAAAATCAGGGAAAATCTGAAGATTAATTATATATCTATATCTATATCTATATTTAGCTGGGCATGGTGGTGCACAACTGTAATCCCAGCACTCAGGAGGCTGAGATAGGAGGCCAGCCTTCATGAGTTTGAGGCCAGCTGGGCTACATAGTGAGTTCAGGGCCAGCCTGAACTACCTAGTGAGAGCCTGTCTCAAAAATAAAAAACAAACAAATGAACGAACAAAAAACCACAAAACTAAAAAAAAGTGGGACATGGTGTCACACACCTGTAATCCCAGCACTCGAAGGCTGAGGCAGGAGGATTGTGGCAAATTCAAGGCCAGCCTGGGCTACAAAGTGACTTCAAAGCCAGCCTGAACTGCACAGCAAAACCCTGTCTCAAAAAGACAAAGAAAAAAAAATTAATATTTTAATTGGTTAAATAAAAAGAAAATTTATTCCAAGTGAGCTAATGTACTATATTTTTATAATCTTTATTTTTACTCTCCAGGTATGACCTGAAATACTTGGGATAGAGAGGACCTGTTTTGCACCTTACAATTAGGAAACAAGAACAAGAGGCACTTCAGAGACTTAGAACTAAAAACCAGCTCTTCATTACTTGCTGTAAATATTTAATCACTCTCAATTAAAATTTTTCTCTGTGGTTAACAGTAACTTTAGAGTCAGACAGATCTTTTTGAATTCCAACTCTGACAGTTATTTGACCTTGGTCAAATTGGTTAACCAAGTGTCAAATTTCATCTGCAAAAAACAAAAAACAATAGTTGCATACTTGATAAGGGTGTTAGGCTCCAATAGGTTAATATACCACACATAAAGCATGTATCTGGCATAATAAATAGGAGCCGCTCCTCTCTGTTGGTATAGTGGAACAGGATCTGCCCCAACCAGGCAGTGTAACCCTGAGGTGGGAAAACAAACAGATGAAGGCAGGACAGACCACAGGACAATTAAGAAAACGTCAGGGGAGGTTGCCTAGAAAGATCACTACATTTTCCTCAGGACTAAATCTCCCCTAGACGGTTGTTTACATCACAATCCTGGAAGACTCACCGTCACTCCGTATTTGAGCGCTAGCCCAGCCAGGGTGTCTCCAGGCTTCAGCTGATGTTCCAGGCGTCTTTCCCTCACAGGGGAGCAGGCTGATTGCACCAGGCTTCCATAAGAACGAGCCCGGCTCCCCTGAAGCAGCCCTGATCCCCCGAGGGGCGGCTGTCTAGAGGGAGAAGCCATCTCCTCACCGAGCTGCGCTTGCAACTGATGAAGGCCGGGCGAGGTGAACGACAGCGACGGCCTGAACTCAGGGAATGGATATTCAGGGAATTCCTTTCCCCCGTCTCTTCTCGCCCGCGCACTCCGGCCGCCCTCTTGCCCTCCCGGCTTCTCCCACCTCCAAGCGCCTTACTCACAGATCTGTCTCCTGAGTGCTCGGTCCCTGTCTTGGTCTCCCCTTGGCACCCCCCTGACTTTCGACCCCTCACATCGCTCGCTGCACTGACCTCTGACCTCTGAACCGTAGACACCCTCCTCAACACCGTTCCTCAGTGTACCCCCAAGTCCGGTAGCTGGGCCTCAAGACGCCCCCATATCCTGGCTCCGCCTTGTCCCAGGGTTCGTAAGCTAGGGTCAGGAATATTGGGCCCACCCCAGGCAGGCTATGGCCGCACGCGAAGCGCGCGAGGATTTCGAGAGTTTGCAGTACACTTTCCAGTCTGAGATCCTCAAGGGCTCGCCGCGCATCCGAAGGTCACACCCTCAAACTCGGGCTTCGCATCTAGGTTCTTGTCTCTGAGAAAGCCTCTTGTCTGCCAAAATGCGAGGGCCAGGATCCAGCTGAGCGGCAAATTTTTTGTAAAAGACTTCATTCCCCAAAAGGCTCCGCGTCTGCGGGGGTCGCAGGGTACCATGGTAAATGCAGTCCGTGTAACACGCTGGAGGCGGGCTTTCCGGATCGCGCAGTGCATGCATGGAAGCGCGCCCCGGAAGTACGAAAACCAAAGGGAAAGAGACCGGAAGAAGAAAAGAAGAGGTCCCATTTCTCCTACGGTGGCCCGAAGGAGTTGCGAAGTCGGCCCGGGAGAATTATATCATTTCTGGGATTCAAAGTCGTGATGTCTTTCAAGAGGGAAGGAGACGATTGGAGTCAGCTCAATGTGCTCAAAAAACGAAGAGTTGGGGACTTGCTGGCCAGTTACATCCCAGAAGATGAAGCGCTGATGCTACGGGATGGACGCTTTGCTTGTGCGATCTGTCCTCATCGACCTGTACTGGACACACTGGCCATGCTGACTGCCCACCGTGGAGGCAAAAAGCATTTATCTAGTAAGTCTGAGGGAAGGCGGAGGATAGAATATAAACTCTGCAGACCATCCTTGCTGCTGTGTTTTTAATTAGCTTTCTTTTTCTCCTCAGGCCTCCAGCTTTTCTATGGTAAGAAGCAGCCAGAAAAGGGAATGGGACAAAATCCAAGACCACAGAATGACTTGAAGAAGGAAGAGACCAAACCTGAGGTAATCAGAGAGGGGGAAGAATGTTTTCCAAGAAGGACCTTGCTGCACACTATACATTTGAAGAGCTCTCGCTTCTGAAGCCCTAACTTGGTCTCTCATCTCTACCAGGCTCCTCTGCTAACCCAGACTCGACTTATCACGCAGAGTGCTTTGCACAGAGCTCCCCACTATAATAGTTGCTGCCGCCGGAAGCACAGGTCTGTGGGATGTATGGGAAACCTAGAGGAAGGGAAAGACAGGAAATAGATGGTCCTACAATTACTGTTTTCCACAACAGTTTGGGCATGGTGGTGCACACTCTAGGAAGCTAAGGCATGATGATCACAAGTTTGAACTCAGCCTGGCCAATAATGCAGTGACTTAATGAGACCCTGTCTCAGAGTAAGAATGGGCTGGGGATGTAGCTCAGTGCAAAGGCCCTGAGTTCAACCTTCAGTACTACAAAAAATAATTAATTAAAGTAAATGTTTCCCAGATTGCATTCTAAGGAATACTAGTATTTTGGAGATATTAATTGGCATTCCAGGAAAAAAACGATTTTGAGATTTTTAAATAAATTTAGAAAATGGAACATTGGACCAGGTGTGGTGACACCTGTAATCCCAGCACCAGGTAGGCTGAGATAGGAGAATGGTGAATTTGAAGTTAGCCTCAAATTCAAATGATAAGGCCCTGTCTCAAAACCAAATACATAAATAAATAAAATAAAGCAAAAGACTAGTAATATTGGTATATTTGAAAGGCTGTACAAAATCCTTTTTTCTTGTACTAGCAGTTGAACCCAGAGCCTTTGTACTAAGCTGTATCCCCAGCCCTGAAAACCCCAATTTATTTATTTATTTATTTATTTTGAGATAGGGTCTCCCTATGCACTTCAGGTTGGTCAAGAATTCACTGTATAGTCCAGACTGGCCTTGAACTTTCAGCAATCCTTCTGCCTCAGCTTCCCAGCCCTTTTTATTTATTATTTTAGAGACAAGATCTCCCTAAGTAATCCAGGCTGGGATCAAACTTCCAATCTTCCTGTCTAAGCCTTCAGCATAATTGGGACTATACACTTGTGCCACCATGCCCAGCTGTACAAAACCTTAAGATAAAAACTTTTTTTTTTAAATTTTAGGACAACTTTCCCCAAATTTATATTCCAGATCCTTTTTATGCAGAACAAGGTGGGATGAGGTGGCATATCTTGAGGAACACAGTTTAAGAAACACTACTCTAGCACAAGGCCCTGAGTTCAATCCCCAGTACCACATGGAAGAAAGAAAGGAAGGAAGGAAGGAAGGAAAGGAAGGAAGGAAGGAAAGAAGGAAGGAAGGAAGGGAAGAAAGAGAAAGAAAGAAAAAGAAAGGAAGGAAAGAAAGAAAGATAGGAAAGAAAGAAAGAAAGAATGCTCTAATGAGTTGGAAGTCATAGAAGAGTTGGCCTTTTCCTTCACTGCTTCTACAGGCTTTGATTCCTCTCTACACAGACCGGAAGCCCCTGGTCCCTCTCTCTCCTGTTCCCCTTTGCCAGCCCGAGATATTGAGCTCCAGAGTGAGAAGATCAGTAGGGAACCTGAGCCTGGGCCTTGCCCACAGGCTAAGGAGTTAGCAACTGCCTCAGACCCTGCACCCATGAGCCCCACAAGAAGACGAGCTCTGGACCGTTATCTCACCCTTCGAAGGTGGGTATTCCAATCACTTTCCTCAGATTTTCTCCCTGATCCCTTTTTTCTAACATATCTATTTTTCTTTTAATTTTAACTATTTTGAGACAGTGTCTCAGTATATAGGCCAAGCTGGCCTTGAGCTAGCTCTGTAGCCCAGTCTGTTCTCAAACTTGCAGTCTTCCTGCCTCAACCCCCCAAGTACTGGGGTTATAAGCATGCACCATCACGCCTGGCTGTAGTTGTTCTCTTTTTTTGCGTGTGTGTCTTTCTGAGACAGGTTCTCGCTATGCAGTTCAGTCTGGCCTTGAGCTCATTCTGTAGCTCAGGCTGGCCTTGAACTTGCAGTGATCTTCCTGCTTCTGCCTCCTGATGGCTGGGATTAAAGGCATGTGCCACCACACCTGGCTAGTTGTTCTTTTTTGTTGCCAATTTTTAATAAACTTCTTTCCTAACCAATTCTGTTTTCTTCATTTCCAGCTCTGGATGGATCCCAGATGGAGACGGTCGATGGATAAAAGATGAAAATGTTGAGTTTGACTCAGATGAGGAGGAACCCCCTGATCTCCCCTTGGGCTGACAACTTCTTTCTACATTTGTTTCACAAATAAACTACAGTGGGCACTGGGAGCCCAATTTTGCTCAAGTCAGGTTCCTTGTCCAATCTCAGGATTTCAGATCTGTTCATTCTCAGCCTGGCTACTCCCTCCCTGCAATGTACACAGCTCCCCATACTTCTGCCCCCTCCCCCACCTTTCACCAAGTCATTCCAAGCGTCAGCTGCATGCAGCCCAGTGCCCTATTAATAAGTCTGTCAGAAAGAGGTCTTTGCCCTTCATGTTCTCTGCCTCCTTTCCCCACTCCATTCAAAGTCCTTCCCTCTTCATATCATATGAGGGCTCTGAATAGGCCCTGGGGGGCTCTGGCCGTATCTGGAAACAGAACGGAGGCCAAGAACCCTGTGGAAGTAGAAAGGCTAAAAGCTTTGGCAGGTTTATGGGGAACACGAAGAGAGGCAGCTCCCCCACCTCCTCCTAGTAACCTGAACCTCCCTGCCTGCTGATCCCCAGAGTATAAATAATCCCCTGATGAACTGGCAGTAACCCTTGGGGGTTAACGCCAAGATTCCCACCCGAAAGCCCAAGGAAGGAGGCAGGCAAAGTGGATAAAAGGGCCTTTATTTACAGGAACGGGAAAGAGGATTTTCGTGTCCAGGGCTCCCAGCTCTAGTCAGTAAAGGAAAGGGCAGTGTTATCTCTTCTTTTGCTGGCGGCCTATAAAGGAGGAAAAGTAATACGATCTTTTGTTCCACCTCCTACTTTTGGCAAAGGCATTCTTCTCCTTTCCATTTCCTTAGCCAGATTCATATGGTGTTAGTGTTTTAGGCCTCCTGACAGCCCACTCCACATTAACAAAATAAGAAACCATACCAAAAGTAAAAATAATATCTAGTTAGGTGCAGTGGTACATGACTATAATTCTACCACTGTGGGAGGCCAGGGTAGGAGGATCACAAGTTCAAGCCCAGGCTGGGCAACTTAGTGACTTAGAGAGACCCTGTGTCAAAATAAAAAGGGGTGGGGATGTAGTTCAATATGAAGGCCCTGGGTACAATCCTCAGTACTGAAAAAATTATATCTAGCCAAGCATTGTGGCACATCTGTAATCCCAGCACTCTGGAGGCTGAGGCAGGAAGATTGTGAGTTCAAAGGCAATTTGGGCTATATAGGAGAACCTTTCTCAAAAAACCAAAACAAAATCAGCTCATCAGGAGGTGATCAAAAGTTCAAGGTCAGCTTGGGCAACTTAGGGAGACTGTATCTCAAAATTAGAAAAGCCCTAGTAGAGTGCTTGGGTAGCACACGTGAAGCCCTGGGTTGGATCCCCAGTACTGCATTAAAAAATGATGTGTTCAGAGCCAGGTGTGGTGGCACACACGCCTGTAATCTCAGCACTCAGGAGGCTGAGGCAGGTGGAGTGTTGAGTTCAAGGCCAGCCTGGGCTACATAGTGATTTCAAAGCTAGCCTGAACTACATAGTGAGACCCTGTCCCCCCAAATAAAGTCTAGGTTCCTTCCCATCTCTTTGGTGGTATCTATTTGGGACAGGGAGACTTTTCCATGTACTTTCTGACCACCTGTGAGAGTTGAGAGCACCTGAGCTGTCACTAAGCCTGCTTCAAGCTCCCAGTTTCTCCTCTTCTTGCCCGATTCCTTACCCGCTGCCGACACCATGCCATAGGTACTCACGTAGTTCGTTGTTCCTGGTCATGGCCTGGGCTGCTCGAGCTCGTGGTCCCTGCTGTGTAAAGTGGTAGCCAAAGCGGACAATAGAAGGACACTGCTCTAGCACAGTGGCCATTTCCATCTCCACTGCATCACCAGGCCACTGGCGCTGTCAGAGGGAGAAGTGGGGCTGTCAGCCATATCTGGCTTGCTAATCACCAGAGACCCCTTGGGAAGTTGAGATGCTTGTTTTCTTCAGAGTGGGCAAAAAGAGGCTTCCCTCACAGAGACAATAAAGAGGAAAAGTCAAACAGGATTAACAGAGGTAGCTGCCCGGGAGGCAGGGTGGCTCAGGGAGGAAGCCTGATGGGTATCCGCTGAATGCGAGCAACAGGGAAAAGGATATTGACCTGGTTGTCTACACGCAGTTCTGTGAGGGTGGCATTTTCCCGAACAGCCTTCAGCACAGCCATGAGCCCTGTGCTGCTAATGAAGTTGGATTCAATATTCAGGCTCTGCAGGCTACGGTTTTCACGCAACATGTCAGCCAAGGCCTGGGAAGGAGGGACTTGGGTTAGGATTAGGGGAAAGTGTCCCAGATGACTGACAAGAGAAAGAACGAGAGCAAGAGGGAAACAGCTCTTTGAGAAGAGTCTCTGAGGAGCTCTAAGTGGGGCTAGAGGGCAACAGCATGGAAGCGGGTGAAAACGGAGATTAAGCATGCAACGGAGGATGTTAGGGTTGTAGCCCTTTGGGAAAATGATCTCAAGATTTCAGAGTTGTGAGCCCTAGACTGAGGGTCAGGGGTCTCCATGAGGGCAGCTTCCTAAGAAAGCATGGTGGGAAGAGCACTCCCTAGCACAACCATTTGTGACAGCTCTCCTGGGAGCACAGGGTGAGGTGCAGGGAGAGGGCTGGGGATGTCAACTAGCCTTACATGGGCGATGGGGTCACCGCTCCTTGTGGCCACCAGACTGAAGATCCGGACATATGTGTTTGTCTTCATCGCCTCGCACAGCTCACTTAGCATGGGTATCGGGATGTCCTGTCAGACAGGCATGGGAAATAGTGGGCTAAGCACTCTCCTCTGTCAGCACAGTTCCCCATGTTATTGTTAGGAAGGTGGCAGTCAAGTACCTGTATATTATTGAGGTTCACCTCCTCCAAGTCCTTGTCATTGCTTCTAACCCTCTTCAACATCTCCTCAATGTTTGTGGGATTTGGGGGCTCATCTGGCACTGGCTTATACTTGTCAGGCTGAACCACACCTGAGGGGTGAGGGTAGGAAGGAACCCCAACATGTCCCCCACCATCTCTCCCTCAGTTCTCTTGTCACTCGTGTGTCATGTTTTCTGATTCATCTCTTTCACCCCTGCTATCTTTGCTCAGGTTCTGGGACTGCCGTCCTGGAGCCCCGGGGCCATGCACCCCACACACTTACTGCTGATGCCTTCAGTGTTGCAGATTTCCCCGCTGCAGATGGCATCATAGTACTGCTTGTTGCTCATCAGGGTGTACATTCCCAGAATTGCTGCAGCGCATGAGCAGAGGGGTGCAGGGAATGAGAAGGGGTCTGTCCTAAGCCTTCATCCTGCCTCACTCTGCTGCAGCTGACCCCTTCCACTATTCCAAAGAGGTTTCCCACTTTCTTTCAACCCCAGGCATCCCTGCCTTAGACTGCCTGTTGGTGGTTTCTATACCACTGAGATGGAGTTTAGGAATGATCCCTAAGGAGCCCCTAGAGAGTGTGTGGGTGTGGGTGTGGCAAAAACCCACCCCCCTGATTTCAGCCAGAATACCTGTACTTTGATTTGCTTTTACAATTTCTTTGTAAAAACGCTTTTTTTTGTGGGGAAGGGTGTTGAGACAGGGTCTTGGGATGTAGCTCAGGGTGGCCTTGAACTCACAGCAATCTTCCTGTCTCAGCTTCCTGAATGCTGCGATTACCGGCATGTGCCACCATGTCCGACATTTTCTTTGGGGTACCAGGAATTGAACTCAGGACCTTGTACTTGTGCCACTGAGCTATATTCTTGGCTTCCGACATTTTTTTTTTTTTAAGACAGGGTCTTTCTATATAGTACAGGCCTTGAAGTCACTTTATATCCTTGGCTGGCCTCCAACTTATGGCAATCCTCCTGTCTCAGCCTCCCAAGTGTTGGAATTACAGGTGTGTGCCACTATGTCTAGCTTGAAAAAATGCTCTTGACATGTTAACTTATTAAATTTAAAGATGAATGAATACCCAAGCAAACATATATGTTAAAAACTACTGCCATGGGGGAAAAAAAATAAAAACTATTGCCAGAGACCTTCTCAGACATCCATGTTCTGGGTCAGGGCCCCCTCAAGGCAAGGATGCCAACCTCTGCTCCTCCCACCCTCCTCAACTTCCCAGCTGCCTACCTGCAATATCACACATTTCAGCATCTGTGGCATGGGCCAATGCCTCTTCCAGCTCCGGCTCCAGGGTGATCTGTTCCTGTGCTGGGATTTCTCTCTTGGGCTGAATATAGGGTTTCCCTGATGGGAAGATGAAGGATGGTTCAGGTAGAGGTCATTTCTCCCAAGATCCTGGTTTCCAGCTTCCTGTCCTTCTCCAAGAGGTATAATGCTGGGTCACTAGGGGACACCAGAAAGCCTGAATTCTTTGCCAGCTCAGGACTCCTGGGTCCCCTGACCTTTCATGAGAACCAAAGAGTGCAAGCTGGCATGCAAGTGTCAGACCGCCTGTGACCCTTGGCAGGTAGGAGCTGGAAGGTGAGAGGGAAGAAAGCTGGAGGGCAGGCTTGTGAGAGAGGCCATTTGGCTTCTGGGAGGCATGGGGGGCAGGGTCCCCATACCCTTCTTCTCGCCTGTGAAGGGCACCAAGTCATCACGTTCTTTGACTTCTAGCGCCTGTTGCTCCAGGTACTGCAAAAGGGCCTCTCGGTCCAGCGGCCCTGTCGGGCTCTTCTTTGTCTGGTCACGTTGTCTTAGTCCAGCTGGCAGGAGCATGTTCTTAGGGGTGAGTTTTGGGGAGCAGGTCAGGTACCCCTCTGGGGTACCTCTAAGGCTCCCTAAAACATTTTCAGTTACCTTTTCCCTGGCTATTTTCGGACTCCAAACCCTGTAGGTAGTCCTGGTCTCAGCCACCCAGTGCCAACACCCTTCCCTAACCCTGGGGTCTCTGTGCTGGGGTCCCTACCTCCGGGTCCATCTCCTGTAGCTCACAGTCCAGCTGCTCTAGCTCCTCGGGGCTCAAGGTCTTTAGGATCTCATCTTCATCTATATCTCTGTATTTCTCCAGTTCCTTCTGATACGATGACATGGTAACCCCTGTCCCCTCCCCACTGTGTGACACTCAGAGCCTGGGAGGACATGGGAAAAGTAGTTGGACATGGAAAGATGCACATGGACACAGTAGGGACACAAAGAACCAGCCAGGGGTAGAACACTGACCAGACACCCCAGAGGTTAAAAATCTAGTCAAGGATGGGAAGGTGGGAGGTCAGGTTGTTTAGAGTTAGAATGGAGTTTCCCCTCTTCCTGCTTCTCCAGCTGCAAGCCACTTTGGATGGGGATCCCAGGATCCAAAGCAGGCTTGTCCTCTCACTATACAGTACAGAAATCCTGGCAATACCCCTCCCCTATAACCTCTCCCGTCAGTGTCTCTTGCCCTAGCACAGGTGCCGGAAGTTTTGCCAGCACGGGTGGCTCCATGCCCAGTTTCTATTGAAAGGTAGGAGGGGGTGGGACAGAACTTCAGGGAAATTCCTTTTTTTCTCTATTCACTCTTTTTTCTACACTGGTTAAAGTGAACAAGGACAACTGGTGGCAGTGGGCAGGAGTCTTACCCCACCCTTATTTCCTCTTTTATTGTGGAAGGACTAAGATTTCACTGTGTTTGCAGAATTCTAAATCCTAAGGGAAAGAGAGGGCTCAGAGAAACTGGGGGGCTGCCAGGTTGAGGAAAGGGCAATATGGCTTCAGGAAGAGGGACTGAGTCCTTACAATCTGTCACCAGGAAGGTGACACCAGACCAAATGGGTGGAAAACGTCTTCTCAATGGAGTAGTTTCTCTAAAATTAGCAGGAAAATAAAACTTACACAATCTTTTACACTACGAAAAATACACAAAAGCTACACATACACACCATGCTACCATAAAAGGTCTAGAAGGTGTGTGGGCTTTACATCAACAACATAAACACAGTTAAGCGACAGGACAGTGGCAGAAACATACACTGCCAGGCAGAGACACACTCCCTGTCACTCCCCGTAAGAGCCACTCTTCTCCCATCTCCACCAGGCTCTCATCCATAAGCCCCCTGCCTTCCCTACCTACCAGTCCTGATGGCCACCTCCCTTCTGTTGGTCAGTCTGTCCGTTCCACTGGGGCACTGTCCTGCAGCAGGAGCCCAGTGTACAGGGAGAGGGTGGGGGAACAGTGAGCTCAGCATTTTATTATTTTAGCTCTGGCCAGGTGGGGGGTAGTGGGAGATCACATATACACAGCCCCCATACCCTGCCCAGCCCTGAGAGCCTCTAGTGGTCACTAACAGCCATGGCACCTCTTCTCTTCACACAAGCCTGATTCCTAGAGTTGAGTTCTACAAGAATCAGCTATGTAAAGGCTGGGGATGTAGTTCGGCGGCACAGCACTTGCCTGGCAAGTGTGAGGTCCCGAGTTTGATTCCCAGTACCCAAAATACAAAACAAAAAAACTGCTAAATCATGCAAAATTTACATTTTGCCAGGTGTGGTGGCACATGCCTGTAATCCCAGCACTCAGGAGGCTGAGGCAGTGTAGCTAACCTCGTTGGTCTCTCATTGTACCCCGGAGAGAAACGGTGGTGGGTATGAGAAAAATAAAGACAAGAGACAAGAGCTGGGGTCAGGTGGAGTAACCTTACCTGCTGAGCAAGAGGACTGACTTCAACAGTAGGGGCATGTATTTTATACACTTGCATAGGTAGTAACATGGGGGGGTATTGTTGCCTAGTAACTAGTAACTATAACTGTCCGGCAGGATGCTTTTTTCAATACTGAGGTAGCTTGACTGCCCGAGCAATAACCAGCTCCAGTGGCTCCCAAGGCAGGAGGATCATTGCAAGTTTGAGATCAACCTGCGTTACAAAGTGAGCTCAAGGCCAGCCTGAAGTGCACAGCGAGATCCTGTCTTAAAAAAAAAAAAAAAAAAAAAAAAATCAGCTATGTAGTTTCTACTTATTTGATGCCTGCTATAGTCAAAATAGTGAATATAAAGTGACAGAAAGGTCAGTATAGGGATTGCTTTATGGTAGGTAAGTGTAAGGTGTTTATTTATTTTTTGGTTTTTCTCCAGCATTGGGAATTGAACTCACAACCTTGCTCTTGCCAGGCAGGCACTGTGCCGCTGAGCTTAATCCCCAGCCCCAGTGTAAGGTGTTTATAATTTCGTTGGAGGAATGATACTTCACAATTAAGAAAGGACAAGCAGGGCTGGGGATTTAGCTCAGCGGCACAGTGCCTGCCTGGCAAGCACAAGGTCATGAGTTCGATTCCCAGTACCAGGGGCAGGGCAGGGAGGACAAGCCACGGATGCATGCATCTGTGGTCCCTGTAAATTGGGAGGCTGAGAAGAGAGGATTGCTTGAGCCCAAGAGACCGAGATCAATCACAGCAATACAGCAACACCCCAAATAGGAAAAAACAAGAGGTCATAAGAGGGGCTATCAAGCTAATAACCCAAATACACTGAGACCCTCACAAACACTTATTCCTAACCCTACATTAGACACCAGACAAAAAGGACCATCCCATTTTTATTAGATTAAAAAATATAACAAAACCAGTAGAAACCAGGAGAATAGATGGGAAAAGAAATATAGAAAAGGACTGGGAAAAGATCAGAAATGACAAGTGAGAGAAGCAGGGAGAGTAGAAGGAAGGTCAAGAGCCCCGAGTCAGGGCAGAAAAGTGGTTTCTCAGGACTGGACATCTCTTCACTTGATGACAATTTTCTGGCGCAAGGCTCGGGGCCCCGTGCCAGGAAGGGGCTCGGGAGGTGGGGGCCCAGGGCCTAGGGATGAAGCAGTGGGCGGCAGTCCGTGGGCAGTGATGTACTTCTTGTAGGCCTCACGGATGATCTTGAAGGCCCGTGCAGTAGCGTAGGGTATGTCAGTGACAGGGTCCCGGTATAGAGCTGGACGATGAGTCACGGGGCAGACCTCCCGAATGGGGACCTTTGGGGGTCGCCCTTGGGGGAACCATTCCTCAAATGTTGCATCATCACTAAATGTGATGAAGGTCCGGGAGCAATGAGCAGGAGGGATCACAGGTCCAGTCACAGCATGCGAAGTCAACGCAGAAGCCGTCGGAGCCGGATCAAGTCTGAGGGCAAGACAGAAAAACAGAGAGCTGAGGAGAGGACAAAAGATGCTAGATAAAGAAATAAGAGAGAAGGAGAAACAAAAAGAAGGCAGAGTGGACGGAACATTCTGAGAGAACCTACTAAGTAGTGGTAGACAGAGAGGTTAAGGTGAGAATAGAAAAAGAGGGAGGCTAAGAGAAAGAAAGGAGGGGCTGAAGGAAGGATGCAATCAGAAAGGCGTGCAAGAGCCAGGGAGAGCAGCGTGAGTAAAGTGGGCACAGGAGGACACAGCTGTTCACTCACCCTTCTACGTCCACATTCTCCTCCTTGGGACCCAGCTCCCCAACAAGTGGCACTGTCACGGAATGGTAGGTGATTATGGGCCCAGGGCACTTTCGCTTCTTATGAACCTGTTTCTTTTTGTCAGCCTCAAGCCGCTCATACGTCTCTTCAGAGTCAAAGGGAGGAAGGAGCTGATGGTCAGAGTTTTTCCTTTTCTCACATTCTGGTTCTGTCCTATGACCTGTCAGTTATTATCTTCCTGGGCATTGCCTGAGTCCCCTCCAATGACTCAAGCCAACTGTGGGAGTTCCAAGGCACGGTAATGCCTCCAACCTCATCAACCTCTGCTCCTCTTTTCATGGCCACTTAGGTCCTCACCCACTCAGAATGGGAAGACCTCACATTGGAAGGGACCCTGTGATGAGGAGCCCATTCATTTCCTGGATACACTGCAACTACCCTAGCAACCCTAGTCAGGACCATGCCTTTCACCTTTACAGAATTCTTCCCTTTCTGAGCTGAAATATAATTCCTGATGACACTTTATGTGTGTGTGTGCGTGCGCACAGCGCATGTGTGTACCCACATGCTACTGGGGATTGAACCTAGGGCCTTCACTGAGTTATATCCCTGGTTCCTTATTAAAAAAAACTTTTTAAAAAAAATTCTGAGACAGGGTTTCACTAGAGTCTCTAAATTTTCCAGGGTGGGACTGAACTTTTTAAGACATGAAGAACGCAAATCTAATCTGGCTTCCATATCACAGTCCTTCAAATAGCTGAACTGAGCATTCATGTTTCCACAGACCTCTCCAGGCTGATCATAACATGCATTATCTAAACTAAACTACTGGGGAACTCTTTTATCCCTATACTTACAGTTTATGGCAGCGGCTGCAAGCTGGGGGACCTCTCAATTGTTTGATCTGTACACTGTTTTTGTTTTCCAGAACTGGGCAAAGAACCCAGAGCCCTTACACTAAGCAACATCCCCAGGTCTTTTTTTTTGAGACAGGGTCTCACTAAGTTGCTGAATTACCTACGCCAGGCTCCAGCTTGTTAACCTCCTGGTTCGGTCTCCCAGAGTGCTGGGATTACAAGTGTGTACCCAACACCTGGCTTTGGCACCTTTTTCTTTTCTCTTTCTCCCTTTATTTTTTTATTTTTTGGTTTTGTTTTTTTCTCTGGTACTGGGAATCGAACTCATGACGTCGCACTTGCCAGGCAGGCGCTGTGCCACTGAGCTAAATCCCCAGCCCCTCTCCCTTTATTTTGTGATGATCAGGGTTAAAACCAGGACCTTCACACTGAGCTACCACCTCAGCCCTCCTTTTATTTTTTATTTTGTGATAAGGTCTCCCTAAATTGCTAAGTTGCCCAGGCTGGGTTCCAATTTGTGATGTTGCCTTAACCTCTCAGAATGCTAGGATTATAGGCACGTGCTACCATACCCAGCTTGTATAGTGTTGTAAAGAAAAACTGGAACTAGTTGCTGACATTCATTTCAAAATTAGGAAATTGGAGCCAGGTGCAGTAGCACACGCCTGTAATCCCAGCACTGTGGGAGGCTGAGGCAGGAGGATTGCAAGTTCAAGCCCCGTATTAAGTATAAAACTGGGCTGGGGAGATAGCTCAGCAGCATAAGTGCCTGCCTGGCCAAGTGCAAGGTTCTGAGTTCGATTCCCGGTACAAAAAAAATAAAAAATAAAAAAAATAAGAAGTATAAATGGCCTGAGGATACAGCTCAGTGTGAAGGCCCTGAGTTTAATTCCCAGTAAACATCCCCCAACTTCCCAAATTAGGAGATCTGATGGGCTGAGGGTATAGCTCAGTGGCAGATGGCTTGCTTCAGATGCACAAGGCTCTGGATCTGATCCCTAGCACTGAAAAAAAAAAAAAAAAAAAAAAAAAAAAAAAAGGAAATTACATGGAAAGATTTCTGGTTTCTCTTGAAAAATGAATTAACTCTGACAACCTTAAGCCTGCATTTACACAGGGCACCAATTGGCTGACTAAAGTAAACTTTTGTTCCTGGCATTCCTCCAATTCACCTTAGCCCGTGTGCTGGCTGCACTCTGCCATCTGGACCCTGTGACACTGCTCCATGGCAATGACTGTGGCCACCTATGTCTCCTACTTAAGGGCAGTGACTGTGATTCATATTAGGTGTCAGGCAGTATGCCACATGTCACAGGCACTCTAAATATTGGTCAATAAATAAATCAAAATATTCCTGGTCCCTTTCTTATAAATGAAGTTCATATTTCTGTGTTTTTAAAAAATGTTTTTTTCTATTTTTTGGGGGGGCAAATAAAACAAAATTTCATAACAAAATAGTAAGAGATTAACAACAGTTAATACACTGTGTATCATTATCTTCAAAGTAGTTACTCTTTTTATTCTTTTTTGTGATACTGGGATAGAACTTAGGCCCTCACATATGCTAAGCAAGCATCCTACCACTGAGCTACATCCTTGGCCTTTCAAAAAAATTTATTTATGCTGGGTGTGGTGGTGCAAACCTGTAATCCCAGCACTCGGGAGGCTGAGACAGGAGGATCCTTTTGATTTCAAGACAAGCCTGGGCTACAAAGTGAGCTCAAGGCCAGCCTGAACTGCATAGGGAGACTCTGTCTCAAAAAGACGAAAAAACAAAAGCAAAAGACAAACCAAAAATAACCAAAAAAATTTATTTATTTATTTTTTTGTGGTACTGAGCATTGAACCCAGGGTGTTTCTCACTGAGCTGCAGCTGCATCCCCAGCCTTTTTATTTATTTTTTCCAGATAAGGTCTTGCTAAGTCACTGAGTTGCCTTGGCTGGGTTTGAACTTGTGATCCTCCTGCCTGAGTTTCCCAGAGTGCTAGGATTACATGTGTATGCTATGAGGGCCAGCCTCTAGTCTAGTTTTTTTTTTTTTTTTTTTTGCCTTTTGAGACAGGGTCTCACTGTGCAGTTCAGGCTGGCCTTGAACTCACTTTATAACCCAGGTTGGCCTCGAACTTGCAGTGATCCTCCTGCCTCAGCCTCTTGGGTGCTGGGATTACCGGTGTGAGCCACCATGCCCAACTCTGCCTTCTAGTCATTGAAAAAATTTTTTTGAGATATGTTCTTGTTAAGTTGTTCAGGCTTGCACTGAACTTGAACTTGCAATCCTCCTGCCTCAGCTTCCTAGAGAGTTGAGATTAGAAGGATCTGCCACCATACTTAGCCTGTAGTTCCTCTATATGGGTACTGTGAACATAATCCTTTAAGCCTGACCATAAAAAAGAGTCCTCTGGAAACCCGTTAGGTGAGTGAATGTCTTTTAAATTCTTATCGATAATGTTGCTTTCTTTCCCTTGAGCCAAACTTCCAACACTTCTCCACTCAAATACCTCCTTACTGTGTGGATTCCAGCTCTATCAGCAAGCTCACCTTTATCCTCAAGCTATTTACTCAGTACTCCTTATACCATTTGCTTTACGGGTAACCCTGCAGCCCTCTGGGGGAGACTCTATTCTCTCACATCCCATGCAGGTTATGGCTGTGTCCTATTGAGCCCCATCCTGTGGCTTTCAGGTCACTGCTTCTGCTACTGTGTACTCTCTTGAGACCAGCAGTTAGAATACCTCTCTCTTTACTTGTCACTCACTGGCTTTGGTAGGGGCTTTCATCCCAACTCCTACGATCTTAAGTTATCCTAGTGACTTCAAAGTCTGTGGTGTTGGTATTATCTATGGCTTGTGATAGTTCTCAGTTGCCTCTGAAAGACAAATACTGTTTGAAAATCCTAAACTGCTATTATATGCATTGAAAATTATATATGCCAACCAAGTATGGTGGTATATACTTGTAGTCCCAGCTACTTAAGAGGCTGAGGCAAGAGAATCCCTTGAGCTCACAAGTTTAAGACCAGCAAAACTGACGAATATAGCAAAACCCCATCTCAAATAAATAAAATAAAATTGTAATTTTATGGTCAATATAATGAATTTCCCCAATACTGGGACGTACCCTACCACTAAGCTGTAATTCATCCACTCCCTTTTCTATTTATTAATTGATTGTCTTTTTGAGACAGGGTCTCGCTATGCAGTTCAGGCTGGCCTTGAGCTCACTTTGTAGCCCAGGCTGGTCTCAAACTCCCAAAGATCCTCCTGCCTCAGCTTCCCCAGTGCTGGGATTACAGGCGTGCACCACCACATCTGGCCTTCCATCCCTTTTTTATTTTTTTTTTGTCTTTTTGAGACAGGGTCTCACTGTGTGGGTTCAGGCTAGTGTTGACCTCACTTTGTAGCCCAGGCTGGCCTCAAACTTGCAATGATCCTCCTGCCTCAGCCTCCCGAATGCTGGGATTACAGGCATGTGCCTCCGCACTTGGCTCTACCCCCTTTTTAAAACAGGATCTCACTATGTATTTCAGGCTGGCTTAGAATTCACTATGTAGCCTAGGCTGGCTTCAAACTTGTGGTGATCCTCCTGCCTCAGTCTCCTGAGTGCTAAAGATTGTAGGCATGTGCCTCCACACCCAGCTCTCAGCCCTTTTTTTGTTTTGTTTTGCTAAATTGCCCAGGCTGGCCTCAAACTTTCAAACTGCCTCTTCAGCCTCCCAGGTGCTAGGATTTTTATCTTTTTGTTGTTGTTGTTTTTTGTTTTTTGTTTTTTTCCAGTACCGGTAATCGAACTCAAGATCCTGCACTTGCCAGGCAGGTGCTGTGCCGCTGAGCTAAATCCCCAGCCCCCCAAGTGCTAGGATTTTTTAGACAGGGTCTTGCTTTGTAGTGTAGGCTGGTCTTGAACTTATATGTAGCCTTGGCTGACCTTGAACTCCCAACAATCACCTTGCCTCACTCTCCCGAATGCTGAGATTACAGGCATGCAGCGTTGAAAGTCATGAAAATACATTCTGAAGATGTTGAGACTGAACTAGATCTTTTCTCAATCTATCTATTCTTTTAAAGCAAAGGTATCTCAATTTTTTTCTTTTTGGTACTAGGAACTGAACTTACAACCCTGTGCTTTGCTACAGAGCTATATCCCCGGCCCCTCAATTTCACAACTATCATTAAACTAGGATGGGTTGGATGCCAGATATTTAGGGTAAGAGATTGTCTACTCTACAGCAAAAACACTGCTGCCTTATACATTATCAGCTAGGTATGTGTTTGGTTCAGAAAGAGAGAGGGGTGAGAGTATAGCTTGGTAGTACGGCACTTGCCTATCATAGTGAGCCTAAGAATAATAATGACTATAAAAGAAATTCAGGAAAATGCTGGGCGTGGTGGCGCACGCCTGTAATCCCAGCACTCGGGAGGCTGAGGCAGGAGGATCGTTGCAACTTCGAGACCAGCCTGCGCTACAAAGTGAGCTCAAGGCCAGCCTGAACTGCATAGGGAGACCCTGTCTCAAAAAAAAAAAAAAAAAAAAAAAAAAAAAAAGGAAGAAATTCAGGAAAAGAAATGTAATATATACTATAGGTGCTTCTCCCTGCGGTTTCACTAATGAAAATACGTTTCAGAGAACATGTGAGGGGAGGTATGAACTTGCTGCTCCCTCAAATTCTCATGGCTCTCATGATCTGAGAGTCACCCCTCTACAAAACAATGTATGGTTTTGTGTTTATTTGTTTGCTTTTCTGAGACAGCCTGGTGTTGAACTCGCTAGGTAGCCCCAGCTGACTTAGTCATGGTGATCTTTCTACCTCAGCTTCCCAAGTGCTGGGATTACAGGTGTGCGCCACTACACTCAGCTCAGTCTTGTTTTGCAGTACTGAAGATTGAACCTTTGGCCTCTGCACTGAGCCACATCCCCAGTCTCTTATTTTTTTTCTTTAGACAGGACTTTGTTATATAGTTCAGGCTGGCCTTGAACTCACTATGAAGCTAATGATGGCCTTGAACTTGTGGCAGTCTTCCTGCCTCAGCCTCCTAAATGCTACGATTGTAGGCATGCTGCACCACCATGCCTGGCCATGTGGTACAAGGAACTCAAGGCCTTTGAACTGGGCTACATCCTCACCCTTCCCTTTTTCACTTCGAGATAGGGTCTTGCTAAGTTGCCTCGACTGTGTATGAACTTGTGATCCTCCTGCCTCTGCCTCCTAGAGTGCTGGGATTACAGGTGGGAATTACCACACCTGGCTTCTATGTTATTCTTACATTATACAAAAGTACTTCAACATAACTTATTCTTCAGAGCATTCATAACTGCCTAGTTACTTGCCCCTAATCAAAATCAACCACTCTCATTTCTTTCAGTTCTTTTTTTTTCTTGTTTTTCTTCTGGTACCAAGAATCAAACTCAAGACCTTATGCTTGCCATGCAGGTGCTGTGCCGCTGAGCTAAATTTCCCCAGCCCCTCTTTCAATTCTTTTGTCCCAAATTTCTCATGTGCCTCAGCATCTCTACCCACATTTTCCAAAACTGCATACTGACCCAGAGAACGTAAATTGAGCTCTTCTGTGATCTTGGCCTCCCTGAGCAGCTCTTCTTGGGTCAGGGGTCGCTCACAGTGGGGCCCTTTCCGCCGCCGTGACTGGCCCTGCCTCTCCTGTACCCGGAGGAATGTTTGTCGTGTGTGTTCAGCTGTAGACTGACGCATGGACTTCCGACCTGGGAAGAGTTACATGCAAATAAATCTTTCTACTTTAAGTTTTTTTATTTGGAAATAATTTCAAACTACAAAAAAGTTGTGATAACAGTACAAACAAAACCCACATATTTTGCACTCATATTCTTTCTTTTTGGTTTTTTGAAATAGAATCTCACTACACAGTTTAGGCTGGCTTCTTTTTGAGGTAGGTCTTGCTATGTAGCCCAGGCTGGCCTAGAACTCGTTGGGATCCTGCTGGCTCAGCCTCCTGAATGTTGGGATCACAGGTGTGCACCACCGTGCCCAGCTTCATTCTGGGTTATTTTTCTGAATGATCTTAGGCCACATCATGGTCTTTACTCCTGAGCACTTCACTGTATTTTTTGAGAGCAAGGATTTCCCTTATATAACACAGTATCAAACTGAGGAACTTAACATGATAAACCATCATCACACTGCAATGTTTTCATCTGACCAAACTTTTCCACTCACTGTCACAGCCATCGTCCTGTAGTTCTAGTGGCAGCAGAGCCTTCTCCTCTCGGGCCTTCTGAGCACTTCCAGCTGGTGTGCTGACCTTTCGAGGCCTCAAGCTTTTTAGAGGCTCCTGGGGACAGATTAGAATCAGACACCATGTGTAAATAAGGACCAAAATCTTTAAGAGATATTGTGAAATGGGAATAAAATGTTCAAATGGGAAGGGGAACTAGGAAAGGGGAAGGGAGAAAGGAAGGAAGTGAAAAGAAAGAAAGAAAGAAAGAAAGAAAGAAAGAAAAAAACCAGACACCAAAGTACAGAGAGATAAGGGGAAAGATGAGACTCTTCAAAGAGAAAACTAATAGTGTAGGAATGGGACCAGCATGGGGAATAGCAGGACACGATAAAGGGAGAAGAGGAATTAAGGAAACACAGGAAAACGAGGACTCCTCCTGTACCTTATAGGCTTTGGTGACTATGCGCCGCTTCCTTCTAGGTTCTTCCGTTTCTCCATCACTGGAGGGCTCATCCCCTTCATCAATGTCGAAGTCCGAGTCTACCTCATCCTCTGTGTCTGACTGGTCTCCTTGATACTCATCATCTCCGGATTCCTGAGGACACGGAGAGTGGAAGACAGTGCACAATGGAATTATCAGTGTTACTTCGGGAGGAACAGATTCCACTTTCCTAATAAGGGCTGCTCCACGCTCCTGCTCAGCTCAGCCCTTCAGTTTCCTCAGGCAGTGCCTTTCTAGCTGATGGCCTTTGGCTCCCAGCACAACCTGCTTCCAACCTTAAGTATGTTTTATTTTTGTAATTTTATTTTATTTTTTCAGGTACTGGGAATCGAACTCACGACCTCGCTCTTGACAGGCAGGCGCTGTGCTGCTGAGCTAAATCCCCAGCCCTTAAGTATGTTTTACTTGCCGGTATCCAGGTATTACTGTGGAACGAAAGGATATAGTTTGATTTTTTTTTTTTCTTTTTGGTACTGGGAATCGAACTCAGGACTTTGTGCTTGCCAGGCAAACGTATGTGCCACTGAGCTATCTCCCCAGCCTGGTTTGAGTTCTCTCTTCAGAGGGGTCACAGTTTAGTGAAGGATAGGACATCATCATAAAAAGTGGGTTTTTGTTTGTCTGAATGGTTTTTTACAATACTGGGTATTATACCCAGGGCCTTCACAGTGAGCTATAATCTCAGTACTTTTTATTATTTTGAGACAGAGTCTTTCTAAATCATTAAGTTGCATACAATGGGTTTGAATTTGTAATCCTGGGGGGGGAAGAATTTGTAATCCTCCTGCCTCAGCCTCCTAGAGTACTGTGATTACAGGTGTGTGCCACCACACCTAGATAAAAAGCAACATAAAATGTACTAAGTGGTTATACTGACAGAAGAGCTGGGCACAGTGAGACACCCACTGATAATCAGTGTTGAGGTTAACCAAGTTACTAAGAGAAATAATAGTCACTCTTTAGGTGTAGTGGGGCAGAAAAATATTTTATTACCTTAGATCATAGAGAGCCATTGAAAACTTGGGGTGAAGCACAAAGGGTATTTCAGAAAGCTTTGGAGGTTAGAGGAGCTGAATGTGAACTATAGCCTAGATCTGAGATGATACAGGTTAGGGTTAGAATAGCAGTGAGAGTCAAAGCAAAGAGGGAAAAAAAAAATCACTCAAGGGACAGGGAGTTAGCTTGGTGGGCAGCACTTCAAACACGTGGCTCCCTCTTCCATCAGTAATGCAGGCTAATGGAGTAATCTTGGTACACAGGCGCCAAAGTAAGCAAGCAGCACAGATGGCTGACACTCCAACCCAGCCAGAGCTCAATCCTGCACTGATGACCATCATTTCTTCCCAACTAATGTCTGTGAAAGACTGCCTGGGAGCACATTAATCCCCTCAGCCTAGTCTGGTATTAAACATATCACCAGAAGGTGGGAGATCAGCTTTTCATGAACTTGTGTCCAATCAAAATGCTTTCGCCAAAGTACAGATTTACTACCATTCCGCTGGTTTTTGTCAAGCATCATTAATAGACATGACTAATTCAGAGAATGTTTTTCTATCTACAAAACACCTGTTACTTTATATTCTCCCTCAGATGTAATGCAAATAAGTTTTGTCTTTCTTGAAGAATATGCATGTTTCTTTATGCACGAAAAAAAAAAGAATGTCAAAGTTTGGTTTCCAGAATGCTCACAGATAAATTTATTTATTTATTTATTTAATTTATTTTATTTATTTATTTATTTATTTGGTTGGTTTTTCTCCGGTACCGGGAACCGAACTCACGACTTTGCGCTTGCCAGGCAGGCGCTTTGCCGCTGAGCTAAATCCCCAGCCCCTCACAGATAAATTTAATATCAACTGCTGTTACCATTTTAGCATAGGCTCCTGGTACAATTGCTTCTAGTCTGTCTCTATTTTTACTGTTCTTACTTTTTGTTTATATCATAAGCCTCCCTAAATCCTTTTTGGAAGCATGAAGGGTACATATTAAATAACGACTCATAAAATGACAGGAATAGGAAAATGGGCTTGGAAGAGGGATGAGAAAGTTCTATTTTAAACTAGTTGGTAGCTGGGCATGGTGGTGCACACCTATAATTCCAGTACTCTGGGAGGCTAAGGTAGAAGGATCTGAGGTTCCACTCCAGTTTAAGTAATTTAGCAAGACCCCGCCTCACAATAAAAAATAAAAAGGGCTGGGAGGGACGTAGCTCAATGTGAAGACTCTGGATTCAATTCCTAGAACTGCAAACAAAACACATACACACATAACAAAAATACTAGCTGGCTGAGGGGTAAGTAAAAACTCGAAGTCAGTTACCAAGTCCTGTGAATTCTACTAACTTTTCTTAAACTCTGTGTCCCTGTAAACTGCTTTCTTTTCTGGCAGTGCTACAGATCAAACCCAGGGTATCTGGCAAGCTAGCCAAGTGCTCCCAGCCCCTGTCCTTGTTTCTCTATGGCCACTGTCTCTTTCAGACTGTTTTCATTACAGAGTAATCTTTTTAAAGCACAAATTTGATCATGGAAATTTATTTATTTTTTTAACAGTACTGGAGATTGAGCCCAGAGTCTAGCCTATGCTAGGCAAGTGTTCTACCCCAAGCTATACCTTCCACCCTTGAACATGGAACTTTTGTTGACTCTTTATCAGTCTCCTGAAAAAAGCAAAACTGTTTAACGTGGTTCATAAGGCCACACATAATCCAGCTTAGGGCTACCTCCTCCAGCCTTCCCAATCTTTATTTTTCTGGAGAATGGAACTAAACTTGCAGGTCCCACAGTGAGATCTCAGTACCTTACACACTCTATCTCACCTTTCTCCCAGGACTAATGCTTCTCTTCCCACTACTCTTCACCCCTCAGGGTGTCTCTTCCCATTAAGCCTGGTTCCCACGTGTTGCCACATCACCCTATGCTTACCTCTTGTTTTAGTCTTTATCATACAATATTTTAATTGATTATGAACCCAGCCAGTTTCTCCACTGGGGCCTCGAATGTGTAAGGAGAAAGCCATGTTTGTTTGTCTGGTTGCATTTTGTTTTATTTTGTTTTGAGACAGGGTCTCATTTTAGTTCAGGCTGGCCTTCAACTCTAAGTGTTTCACCTGCTTCAAGCCTCCCAAGAGTGCTGGTATTATAGGTGTACACCACTGTGAGAGACCCCCCTGCTGCTCTCTCCTAACCTGTCCGTGACCTCTCCTTCAACCCTATTTACTGAAACAGGCAAAGCTGGCTATATTGACAGCAAAGGTCAATATACTGCATACATCAAAACTATCTGTGCATTGCTAATTGGAGGCCTCTCTGCCTGGTAATGTTTCAGTTTCTTTTCCCTATGAACTCTGCTACAAACCCAACCCACCTCCCTGATTGATACCAATAAAAGCCATGAGGTTTTGATGAGGAAAGCTTTTGTTTCACGGGGATCACTGGGTCATCCCAGAGCTCCTCAACTGCGGAATATTTTCTCTTTGTCTTTCTTTTGCATCCATGTGCCATATCACCGGATGGGTTAGACTGATCAGCAGAGGTTTCTGTAACTGTAATCTTGTAGACTGGTACACTTATCAGGGGTTTCGGAATACCACCACACCTGGCATGTTTGTCTGGTTTTGGTTTAGCAGTGCTGGGGACAGAACCCACGGTCTCAGTCATGCTAGGCAAATGCTCTGCCACTGAGCTGTTGCCTATGTGGCACACTCCTGGTGCTGAACATATATGTAATGAATGAATCAAATTAATCAAAAAATTTTGCAAGAGTCAGGCATAGTGGATTGCTGCGAATTCAAGGGGAGCCTGGCCTACATACTGAGTTCAAGGCCAGGCTGAACTACACAATGAGACTGTGTCTCAAAAACCAAGATAACCCTGGCATGGTGGTACACACCTGTAATCCCAGAATTTGGGAAGCTGAGGCAGAAGCATTGCCAGGAGTCTGAGCCCAGCCTGGGATACATAGTGAGTTCAAGGCCAGTCTAAACTACATAGTGAGACCCTGGTTCAAAACAACAACCCACTCGAACAAATGTAACACTCCCCTCCAATTTAGCAAGTGTCAACCCAGTCCAGACACTAGACTAGGCACTCACCATAAAATGCTGAACAAAGTCTGTAGAGCTTACAGTCTTAACAGGAGAGTAAAATCAAGTGTATTTACAAAATGAAGTGTATTTCTGTAACGAAAATACATGGGGACTTCTTTAGGACAGTCAAAGAGATGTTCTCTAAGGAAACATTTACATTAAGGAACGTGTGTAATGGTGCATGCCTGTAATCCTAGCACTCAGGTGGCTGAGACAGGAGGATTGCCCCCGAGTTCGAGGCCAGCCTCGACTGCGTCCTGAACTGAAAGCCAGCCTGAACTACATAGAGCCCCTGTCTCAAAAAGCTAAGAAAACAAAACAAAACAAACACCGACTTGAAAGCTGAAAAAGGAGTAAACTAATCAGGCCTCTTAGAATAGCAGTTCCTTTCTATGTCTCTGGTGAGTAAACCAAAGAGTTCATACCTATACGTACCGCGGGGCCTGACTACAAGGTGCTTGTGCATCCCAGCCGTGAGAGGTGCAGCGGGAGATGCTTTCTACCGCTGTCCAGGTGCCTCTGGGGGGCTCTTCTGTCCGACACTGACACACACACACCCTTTCACCCACTCCAAGGGCGCTCTCTTCTAGCTCCCCACTGCACCCCACGCACGCACTTGGTCTCCACGCCCGCGCCGGGGGCGCCCTGCACTCCCGCCCCCTTCTTCGTCCGGGCTTTGCCCCTAGCGGGCTGCTTCTTTGTACCTCCTCCCCTCCTTCCTCCCGGGCCCGACTCTTGCCTCTGTGAAACCCCCATAAGTCGTCTGGTAGAACTCATCTTCCTCCTCTGCCTCTAGGAGCCCAGAAAGCCGGTTTCCAGCTGTCTTCCGGGGGGCCCGACCCCCAGCCAAACTCATGTCGTCTACCGAGACTGCGCCGCGACCAGCGGGGCCTTCACCTAGCTTGGTTGTAGGAAGTCGGCGCTCGACACCACGACCTGCGAGTGGCCGCTGACGGCGGAAGTCCGGCGTTTGCAGGCAGAAGCAGCAGAGCATCGAGGAGCTCCTAGTCCTGCCTCTAAATCCAGTTTGGTGGGTTTTTTTTTTTTTTTTTTTTTTTTTTTTTTTTTTCTTTTTGAGACAGGGTCTGGCTATGCAGTTCAGGCTGGCCTTGAGCTCACTTTGTAGCCGAAGCTGGCCTCGAACTCACAACTATCCTCCTGCCTCAACCTCCCAAGTGCTGGGATTACAGGCGTGCGCCACCACTCCCGGCTTTTAAATCCAGTTTTCAACCTTGCCCTTCTCTAGCGCAGAGCCTCCACTGCTGAGACACCGACAGATCTGACTTGCTCAATAAATCCTCCTCGGTGACACCAGGAACCCCAGTATCCTAAGTCTAGAATTTAGTAGTCAACATTTTTTTTTTTTTTTGGTCTTTTTTGAGGCAGGGTCTTACTATGCAATTCAGACTGCCCTGGAACTCCCTTCATAGCCCAGGCTGGCCTTGAACTCAATGATCCTCCTGCCTCAGCCTCCCGAGTGCTTGGATTACAGGCGTGCACCACCGCGCCCGGCACTCAACATATGTTTTTAAAAGCCATTTGTCTCCCTGTTCTCCAGTCCATTTTTGTTATTGTTTAAGATACTGAGGACCGAACTCAAGGTCTCACTCTACCACTGAACCCCCTCTGGACTTTTTACCTTTCATTTTGAGGCAGAGTCTCACGAAGTTGCCCACGCTGGCTTCTTTGCAATCCTCCTGCCTCAGCCTCCAGAGTAGGCGAAAGGCCACTGTGCCGACCACAGTCCATTTTTCATCAATTTTTTTTTGGTGCTGGGACTCAAACTCAAGATTTTGCGCTTGCCAGGCAGGTACTACACTGCTGAGCTACATCCCCGGCCCCTCCACCCCATTTTTAAGTTGTACCAAGTGGAAACCTTTCTAAAAACACAGAGTTTGTCATTCCTACCTTCAAAAATGTTTAATGGTTCCCTACCATCTATGGGATATGGAGGAAGCACAGTACTGTGGTTAAGAACCCAACCTTAGAACTCATCAGTTTGCTTGTGTGTGAGCTTGGAGGTCCTCTAGCTTTGTGATCTTTGACTAGTAACTTTACTTCTCTGAATCCTATTTTTTTCATCTATTAAGTGGAAGCAATGATAATATCTAACCTTTAAAGGTTGTTGAGAATATTAAGAAATATCTTTGTATACTGCTTAGCACAGTGTTTAATTAGCACGTAGTAAGCATTTAGTACATAACTATTAACACAACATTCAAAATCCTTCATAATTTAGCCCCTCCCTGCCTTTCCAGCCTCACCTCCTGACGCACCATCCTATTTCAGCACCATTCCCCTGTCACCCAATTCTCTGTCATGCCTCTAGATTTTTCCTTCTTCTTAGAACTTTACTTTCTGTCTGGCAAAATTCTAGTTTCATAGGAGGGTTGGGGAGGTAGCTCAGTGGCACAATGCCTGTCTGGCAAGCACAAGGTCCTGAGTTTGATTCCTAGTACCAAAAAAAAAAAAAAAAATTGATAGATCTAATTTCATAGGATACTGAAGTCTTCCTAAACACTATTAGTCTCCTCTTTTCAACAGTTTCCATAACCATGGGAATCATACCTCCTCGATTCTCTGGAATAGTTCCAATCTCAAATAGTCTATAGTATTGTCCGGACAGTGCCCATTTTAAAAATTCTTAAAACGTAGTTGTTACTGGGCATTGTGATGCATTCCTGTAATCCCAGCATTTGGGAGGCTGAGGCAGGAGGATTGTTGTGAGTTCAAGGCCAGCCTGGGCTACAAAGTGAGCTCAAGGCCAGCCTGAACTGCACAGTGAGACCTTGTCTCAAAAAGACAAAAAAAAAAAAAAACCCACAAAGGCTAAAAAACCCATCCTCTTATTTTTATCTCTGTGTTGCTTTTGCCAGTGCTAGTCCCTTCATTCTGACTTTAGGAGCTATTCTAAGATGAAGGAAACTTTTTCCCTCTAACACTGAACTGTGGCCTCAGCCCCTCCAAAATGCTTTAAAAATGCTGTGTGTGTGCACTCACATATACTCGTCTGAATGTGTGGCCCTATTTTTTTAAAGCTTTTTTTTTGGTACCAGGAATCAAACTCACGACTTTGTGCTTGCCGGGCAGGTGTTGTGCCATGGAGCTATACCCCCAGCTCCCCCGACCTTTTTTTTTAACTTTTTAAGATAGGGTTTTGTTATGGAGTTCAGGTTGGCCTCGAGTTCACTTTGTAGCCCAGGCTGGCCTTGAACTTGCAATGATCCTCCTGCCTCAGTTTCCTGAGTGCTGGGATTACAGGCATGCACCACTATGCCTGGCTGTGTGGCCCTATTTTGAGGTCACTAGATTGCCTTCCTTCCCAAAGTATGTATTGGTGAACTCCCTTTTCTGTTTCCTTGGGGGCACCAAGCCAACATGTCCCGCTCTGCCTCTGCTTCCACACCCTGCCACGTCACCCTACTTCTGCTATGCCAGGAATGTTACTAGGGAAGAGTGGCTCTATGACTCAGAGGGCACCTCAGGGATTGAGTAGGAGTGGCAGCAGAAAAAAGATTAATGGGTAAAAGATGGGAGATACCTGCTTCTTTTTTTTTTTTTTGTCCTTCTGGTACTGGGAATCGAACTCATGACCTTGTGCTTGCCAGGCAGACACTGTGCCGCTGAGCTAAATCCCCAGCCCCTTTTTTGTCTTTTTGAGACAGGGCCTCACTATGTAGTTTAGGTTGGCCTCGAGCTCACTTTGTAGCCCAGGCTGGTCTCGAACTCGCAAGGATCCTCCTGCCTCAGCCTCCCTAGTGCTGGGATTGCAGGCGTGTGCCACCATGCCCCGATACCTGCTTCTTAAACATCCCTAATTCCACTTTTTGAATTTTGCCTTCAACTGTTCATATATTTAGAAGACACATTTAGTTGACCAGAATTGACTCCTACTCTTTCCCAGGTACTATATACTAGATGCTTGAGATATAAAAAGAGAGAAGGTGTAATCTTTGCTCCGAAGAGTTTGGTCTTATGAGGCAAGCAGGTAAACAGACTGGCATAATACAAGGAGGCAGGTGTAATATCTGTCATTATTCTGGTATATAGGGTAGAAGCAAAGACACCCCCCCCCAAAAAAAGCTACAAAACAGGGATTTCTTCTTTCAGGAAGGGTGAAATCAAATTCGCAGATAAGATCGTGGGGAGAGGATTCCCTTATTTGATTGCTTTAGTCATTCTGGGATTTATTAGACTAGTTCCAATTTTGAAATCAGAAACAGCTTTTTCTCTACACAAGCTGATTTTTAAAGTGACTCAGGAAATGATAGCAACTGCATGCTTTTTCTGGAAACAAGGATAATTTATTCAACAAATATTTTTTATTGAATACTTATGCACCACATCCCTGACTTACACTGTCTAGTTCCTGTACTGTTTAGCTGAATGGAGGTTATACGTGCAGGGAATCATGAAACACTTTATCACTATACTGTTTGACTGTTCTGAAACTACAAATGGTAAATCCAAACGGGTGGAAGTTTGTCTACCTTCCTACCCAAAGGAGGCCAAATAATCCAGCAGGGGGCAGCAAGGCAACAATTATTTTAGATCTTCATGCGAGCCGGGCAGAAAGCTGAAGTAAATGAGAAGGGGGATGTTATATAAACTGTCAGGTATTAGGTTTCCTTTGGAGGGCCCGGGAGTCATCTGGATAGAGGGAAATCAGGCCACTTTGGGGGTTACAAAACCGAGGATTCCCCCCAATTCTCCTTCATTTATTCATTCATGCACAAATGATTGTTCGCAGCTACTCTGTACAGTGAGAAGAGGAGCTGAGGATATGCGTGAACCAAACACAGTCAGAGCTCTCCAGAAGCCTTAATTAGCTTAAGATAGACAGATCTTCAGATCCCTACCAAGGTTCACAACCCAGAATTCTGTGTTAAAACTGAGCAGAGATAATTGGACTAGAATAGGAGAAATTTCTCCATGCTCTTTGAAGCACAGGTAATTGATAGCTGGAAGCCAAGGACTTTGTATCTTGGTAAGGTTGTAAGAAATTGTTTGAGTGCCTTTCGCGGTCCTTTTTTCTCTTTTTCATGCGGTGTTGAGAACAGACCCCAGGGGAGCTCTATCACTGAGCTACAACCTCAGCTCTTTTATTATTTATTTTGAGACAGTCTCACTAAATTGTTCAGACTGGCTTCGAACACGCGATATTCCTGCCTCAGCCTCTCAAGTAGTAGGGTTTACAGATGTGCGCCACTGGGCTCTTTTGACAGGTCGTTGTTGATTCATTTACCAAATATTTACCGATGCGAGATGTAGTAGCGTGCGCCTGAAATCCCAACGTTCTGGGAGGCTAAGGCGGAGAACTGCGAGTTCGAGCCCAGCCTGGGTAATTTAGGGAGACCTTGTCTATAAAAAAGGACTGGGGGCTGTAGCTCAGTGCGAAGACCTGGGGGGGGGGGTTAATCTCCAGTAGCAAAACCAAAGCCAAAAACCCAAATCAAATATTTACTGAAACTATACCTAGCATATGCCTCACACTGGGTTTGACACAGCCAGATCTATATATTTTTTTTTTTTTTTGGCTTTTCTCCGGTACCGGGAACCAAACTCACGACCTTGCACTTGCCAGGCAGGCGCTTTTGCCGCTGAGCTAAATCCCCAGCCCCCAGACAGGTCTATTTTTAACGTCGTTTGGAGGAAGGTAAGACAAACCTGAAAGGGGCTGGGAAGAATTCTTGGTGGCATGTAATTTTTAATTTTTATTTATTTATCTACTTTTGTCTTTTTGAGACAGGGTCTCGCGATGCAGTTCAGGCTGGCCTTGAGCTCACTTTGTAGCCCAGGCTGGCCTCAAATTCTCCATGATCCTCCTGCCTCAGCCTCCCGAGTGCTGGGATTACAGACGTGCCCCACCATGCCTGGCGACGTGATTTTTATAGTAGTCGACTGTGTAAGGTCTCTGAATTGACATTAGCGCTTCTGTCCGGAGTTTTTTCTCGGACTGTGAATTTGAGAAGACCAGCCTCTGTACCCTGAATCCGAACTCAGAGCTCTCTAAACCCAGTCTTTCTTAAGAGCCGAAACGAGGTTGACCCCACTGAGCCACCGTAGGGGTGGGTGTACACTGACAGCGGCGCGTTTGTCTTCCTGCAGTGGATTCGCCAGCGCGTCAGTGACCTGCATCACGTGACCATCAGTAGCCTTCTGATTGGCTTTGTTGTTCTTCCCTTCCCAATAGAGAGGATGGAACGCCGAGAAGGTCCGACGCATGCGCACTATTGGATTTTCCTTGGCTACCCAGAGCGGAGCGGTGGGGTTGAGCGATAAACAGGCTGTGGCTAAGGAGGCGGAGAAGGAGGAGGAGGAGAACGAGGGGGAGGGGGGACGGCTTCTCCCGGACTGTGCATGCCTCCGTTTTCCTTTAGGTGTGGTTTGGTCCGGACGCGGAGTCCCGGCCGCCAACTTGAGCCTAGTCCCTTGTGAAAGGGGAAAGTATCCCCGGCGGAGAGCGGTCAGCGTTGCGGAGGGGGTGCGAGACGGGAGTTAGATATACCCCCATGCTGGTCGAGTGGTGCGGCCCTGAGCTGGTCCCGGAGCCCTCCAGACGCGTCTGAGAGAGGCCCTGGAGGGGGCGGAAAGTTGGTCCGCAGAACGCCGGCTCTGTGAAGGGACGTGGGGAAGATTCGATTCTGAGAAGAGGAAGAGCCCGACTGAAAGAGAGGCCGCTGAGGGGGAGGGGGCTGCCAAGATGGCGTCGGCCTCCTCTGGGCCGTCGGCGGTCGGATTTTCATCTTTGGATCCCGGGGTCCCGGGGCCGACCTCTGGTAAGCCAGGCGGGGCGGGGGCAGCGGGCCGGGGGTGACTGTTCGATGGGAGGAAGAGGGAGGCCTGGTGGGCACCTGTGGCTGGGAATGTCCGAGGGGTTCCGGCGAGGAGCACAGAGAGGGCTGGGCTTCCGTATGGGGATCTCGGAGCGGGCGGGGGAGTGAGCGTAGGGTGGGTTTGATTGAGAAGAGGGTTTGATTGCCGAAAATGTTGTCTTCGAGGAAACCGGATTGAGGACTTTGACAGGGCGGGATTAAGAAGTACAAGGAGGCTTGATAGGTAGAGAGACACTCCACAGTGAGAGGCAGGTAGGGTCCAAGTTGGTCGTGCAGTGAATTGGATGAAGATGGTTACGAGATCATGGACTAAAGGCACTGAAGAGCTCTGTGACGCCTTTGATTGCTGGGGAGCTAGGGAACCGTGAGTTTTGTTAGGAGTCGGGTTATCGTGGTGGTCTTTTCTCGGCAGAGGCTCCCCCACTGCGTCATTCCTTCTCTTCGCCCCGCCCCCAACGCGAGGGGGCGCCGGTGCACTCGCGCACTTTCTCAAGGTAACTCGGTGACTCTCCTTTCTGGACTACCTAACTTGGGGAAAGAATGTAGTTTTTTTGTTTGTTTTGGTTTTGTGGAGTGGATATTGAACCCAGAGCCTCAGTCATGCTAGGCAAGCCCCTTACAGAGCTGAGCTACTTCCTCAGTCCCTAGGAATGGGAGGTTTTGAAAAGAGCTTCAGGGATGTGCGAAATTAGGGTCAAAAGATTCTTAAACGGAGGAGATGCAGTGTAGTCTTGTGTTGGAGTAGAGCCTGAGGAAAGTAATGTTTGGCGTTAGGCTGTAGGAGGAAAGATAGGTGGCAGGTAGCTGAGTGCTTTGGGGCAGTATTGCCTAATAGGAAATGAACTGGAGAAATGCTTAGGAGGTGTCAGGGTGTTGGAACTTGGAGAATGGAGGCAATATAGAGGCTGCAGAGCGGTTAGAAACTAATGAAGATTAAGGGAGGTCTGAGGAGGCTCAGAAGAAAAGTAACAGATTGTGTGTGGGAGGGAAAATGTGTGTATGGGGGGGAGTGAGTCAGAAGCTGTTCTAGAGCATCTGTCAGAAATGTCTGGTAATCGCTGGGTCTGGTGGCGCACTCCTGTAATCCCAGCGCTTGGGAGACTGAGGCAGGAGGATCGTTGCAAGTTCAAGACCAGCCTGGGCTACATAGGGAGTTCAAAGCCAACCTGAATGATATAGCCACAGCCTGTCTCAAAAAACAAAACACCAAAAAGCAAAACAAAAAGTGTCTCGGGTTCTACAGTGATTGTTGCCTCTATACCCAACAGTAGAGGCTGCCTGATGCTGGATGCTTTCCTTGGAATTTTGGCCTTTCTTTAAGCCTGGCATCCTTGACTTTTTTTTTTTTAAACTGGGTATCAAAGCCAGGGTTGCTCTACCACTGAGCTATATCTCTGGCCCCCTTTTGAATTTTTTTCTTTAGTTTTGAGATAGTCTCAGTAAGTTGCTTAGGCGGATGGGACTTAAACTTGTGATCTTTTTGTTTTAGCCTCCCAGAGTGATGGGACTGCAGGTATAGGACACCAGGATACCAAAGATTGAACCCAAAATGTTTGCACTGAGCTATGTCTCCGAACCTTTTTTGTTTGTTTTGAGACAGGCTTACTGTGCAGTTCAGGCTGGCCTTGAACTCCTGACCATCCTCCTGCCTCAGCCTCCCATTGCTGGGATTACAGACGTGTGTCACCACGCCCGGCTTAATGTATTTGAATTTGGAGGAGGCAGTTATAGATGAATCCCAGCCCTGTAGTCCCAGCCCTTGGGAGGCTGAAGCAGGAGAATGGCCTTGAGTTCAAAACCAGAGGAGCTGCATAATGAGTTTAAGGCCAGCCTGAATTACATAGTAAGACCTTGTCTCAAAACAACAACAAAAGGGCTGGGGATGTAGCTAGTGGCACAGCATCTGCCTGGCAAGCACAAGGTCCTGAGTTTGATTCAACAACAACCAACCAACCAAACAACAATAACCCGTCAACAATGAATGTTATTTTACAATAGCCGTCATCAGAGCTTGTTCTTATACTTTGGTTGTTAATAAAAGATGATGCATAGCACATGCCTATAATCCCAGCATTCAGGAGGCTAAGGCAGGAAGATTGCTTTAGTTCAAGGCCAGCTTGAACTGCATAGTGAGACCCTATCTCAAAAAGATAAAAAAAAAAGAAAAAAAAAAGTGATGGAGTTTGCCATCTAGTCTCAGCTGTTTGATATGTGAAGAAAATTTATTCTTTTCCTTTCTTCCCCATTTTCATTGTTTGGACAATGCCATCACTTATTACTAATGAAAATAGTTCTGATGAGGTGCTGTTGACAGTTACCATCTGTCACATCAGTGCTTAGAGAGCCTGTTTCCCTGTCTCTACTTTAACTTTTTAAATTTTGGGGGGGGTATCAGGAATCAACCTTGTGCTTGCCAGGCAGGCAGGTGTTTATGCCACTGAGCTATATCCCCAGCCTCTACTTTAACTTTTTATGGTCCACCAGGAACTTGAAATTCATGTCACTGAGTCCTCTTTTTAAAGAGGAAAGACTTTCTGTTTTAGAGTCTTGAAGTAGTTAGGTTTACTTTTAATTTTTTTTGTTTGTTTTGAAAGGTTTTCGTTAAGTAGTTCATGCTGTTCTTGAACTCACTATGTAGCCTGAGATGGCATGGAATTTACGGTGATCCTTCTGCTTCAGCCTCCCAAGTGCTGGTATTACAGGCATACGCCAATAGGCCTGGCTCTATTTTTTTTTGTTTAATTTTGAGACAAGGTCTCACTGAATCACTAGGCTGGGCGTAAACTTGCAAACTTGTGATACTCTTGTCTCAGCCTTGCAGAGTGCTGAAGTTACGGGCTTTTTATTAGGAGCACGAATGATTTTTTTTTTGGTTTTTCTCCGGTACCAGGAACCGAACTCACGACCTTGCGCTTGCCAGGCAGGCGCTTTTTGCCGCTGAGCTAAATCCCCAGCCCCAAGCACAAATGATTTTGGGCCAACTGTACAGCTCCTTTCCTGGCTTTATATGTGTATGATTTTTTTTTCTTTTTTTTTTTGAAATAAGAGTTTCATTATGTAATTCAGACTTCAGGCTGTCCTTGAACTCACTAGGTACCCCAAGCAGGCCTTGAACTTGAGGCAGTCCTCCTGCCTCAGCCTCCCCAGTATGGTGGGCTTACAGGTGTGTGCCACCCCTGGCTTTTTTTTTTCCTTTTAACTGCTGAAAGAAACCTCAAAATGCACGGGGTCAGAAGCCTTTTTGATTGGAAGACCTATTTAGTGTGCCAGCCTGCTAAGCCTTTGGTTCTGGTGGTTTCATTCTTCCTAGGACAGTCCCACCTGGAAGCTGGAGTAATCTGGTAACTCCAGTGGTCAGAGTTCATGGGTGTCTTTTTGGGGGGCCTATGTTCTTTTTATATGGCTGTAAGTTATTTGTGGACTGATTTTTGTCCTTAATTTTTCTACTCTGGTGAAAATTAAAGCTATTTAGAACACTTTATTGGAGTTCAGAATTGAAATTTGGGGAAATGTCAGCATATCATTAGATATCAGCATATCATCAAATATCACTTTGATAATTCTTAAGTAGGGAGTTTTCTGTTTGCTTTAAGAGTTTTTGACTCCCTCCTCCATTTTTATTTTATTAGTACATGTTTATCTTACGTAATGATTACATTTGTTGTGAGGTGCTGATACATACATGTATATAACACATCTTTTTTTTTTGGTCTTTTTGAGACAGGATCTCTGTACTCAGTTCAGGCTGACCTTGACCTCACTTTGTAGCCCAGGTTGGTCTCGAACTCACAGCGATCCCCTGCCTCAGCCTCCTGAGTGCTGGGATTACAGGCGTGTGCCACCACTCCTGGCCACATCTTAAATTGTGTGTGTGTGTATGTGTGTGTGTGTGTGTGTGTACGGGGAATCAAACTCAGGATCTTTCGCTTGCCAGGCAGGTGCGTGTGCCACAGAGCTACATCCCCGGCCTTTAACTATTTTTATGTACCCTTCCCTGCCTCCTTCTTTTTCTTATTAGTACATTGTACCAGAAAACTGACATCAGTATGCCTTTGTTTGTTTGTTTTGAAACAAGGTCTCACTGTGTAGTCCAGGCTGGCCTTGAACTCACTATGCAACCTAGGCTGGCCTTGAACTCATAGCAGTCCTCTTGCTTCAGCCTCCATACAAGCATGTACCACCCACATGCTTGGCTTGTTTCTTTTGAGACAGGTTGCCAGGCTGACCTCATACTCGGCTCAAGCAATCCTCCTATCTCAGTCTGATAGTAGCTAGAGTTACAGCTGTGCACAACCATGTCTAGCTTTTCAGTGTCTTTTTTTTTTTTTTTTTTTGACACAGAGTCTCCTTATGTAATTCATTCTGGCCTTGAACTCACTGTGTAGCCCACGCTGGCCCCCAATTTGCTGTAATCCTGCCTCAGCCTCTTGAGTGCTAGGATTGCAGGCATGTGTCACCACGCAACTCAGTGTCATTGTTTTTAATTAAATATTTCTGCCATCTTTGTTCAAGCCCAGTGTTAGGTATAATTAACTAGTCTTATAGGTATCTAGTATTCTGAGGTTGATTAGTAATGTGTACTTACAAGTTAGCTTTTTTTTTTTTTGGTGTTTTTAAGACAAGGTCTCGCTATGCAGTTGAGGCTGGCCATGAGCTCACTTTGTAACCCAGGCTGGCCTTGAACTCCCAACCATCCTCCTGCGTGCTGGGGTTATAGGTGTGTGCCACCACCCCCTGCACAAGTTAGCTTTGAATATCAAATTAACCTGGTTGGTGCCGCACACTGTAATTCCAGGGAGGCTGAGACAGAAGGTCCTGTTAGTGAGAGCCTATCTCAAAAAATACCCTTTGTGTCAGCCTGATCACCTTCATCATAGTGTTCCCCCCTCTAGGTGTGCAAGCTGCACTCCTTTCTTGTTTTTCTTACTCTCCTTTGCTAAAGG